CGAGGCGGGAATAGGGCTGAAGCTCGGTCCGGAGTTTGCACCAAGCTTGAGGCCGAGGTTTTGGAGCGGCGGGTTTTCTGGCTCGACATCCACTTAAATACACCTGACTTGGAGTCGGACAAAGCTGATAACCGCCTCCGGACCTAGGGCTCAATAATAAAATGGGGTTAAATGAGCCGACCTCACAGAAAAAAAAAAAAGAAAAAAAAAGTTAAATGACCTGATTCCATGGAACTCAGCACATGCTGTGTCAAAAATTGGCTGCAACTGAACTTTGCTGTTTATGGACTAGTTCAAGGAAACCTTTGGAGATTGTCATTTCCCTGGAACTAACTTTTCTCCCATTTTATCTCTTTTACTTTTTATTTATGCCTTTTCCTTTCTGCTTCACTGGTCTCTAGAGTAGGTGCTATGAATAGAAGTTAAATGGAATATTTAATTTCCCATTCTCATTTTCTATGCACTGCTTACCGAACAGTGATTCAGAGTCCTGGCTGCACAATGGAATTGTTTGGTAACATCTTAAAAATACTGATGCTTGAGGGACCCTGGGTAGCTCAGTTGGTTAAGCGTCTGCCTTCTGCTGCGTAGTGATCCCAGGGTCCTGGGATTGAACCCCTCATCCGGCTCCCTGCTCAGGGCGGAGTCTGCTTCTCCTTCTCCCTCTGCCTGCCACTCCCCACCCCCCACACACACTTGTGCTCTCTCTTTCAAATAAATTTATAAAAACAACCCCCCCCCCAAAAAAAAAACTGATGCTTGGGCCGCACCCCAAACCAATTAAGCAAGTTCTCTTGCAGTGAACCTAGGCGTTGGTATGTTTTTGCAAAGCATCCAGATGAGCTGTGGCTGAGGACTGATGCCCAAGAGGCCCTTGTCTTTTCAGGCCAAAGTGGCTGACCTCTGTGAAGTCTTTCTGGCTGTGGAAAACTTTTCCTCCTTGAGTAGGCAAAGGACAATCAAAATTCTAATTATTAGAAGACTGCTTTAGCTCATTGAAGTTCCAGCCCGTGTGGGGAATGAAATCAGTTCTAGAGACAGTGCTGAGATGGCATCATTCTTGGGGCCTGGCCACTCTAACTGTATAGTGTTCTGTATAGAGGTCAGTGGTCTCTTGATTCTCACTCCCATTCTTACCATTACTCCTCTTCTCCCCCCCACCCCCCCAAAAAAAATAATTGGTAGCACAGTGTAGAGTGGGTGTGATGGGGGAAAAAATCATTGGAAGCTTGTATTAAAATAATCCTTGTGCAACTTGATTCACTGTGACTGAAGATGAACTGATTAACTTTTTGGACCTCAAGTTTATCTTTAAAATGAGAAAAATGTCATACATCTGGTAGGACTGTTGTAAGGATAGGAAGCAATATCTTGGAAATTGGGAAAATACTTTGCAAACTGTAAATTGCTATTAAACCATAAAGCATTTTATTTAAAAAAAAATACTGGGAGAGGCCTAAGTGGCTCAGTCAGTTGAGCATCAGACTCTTGATTTTGGCTCAGGTCATGATCTTGGGGTCCTGGGATCAAGCCCTGAATTGGGCTCTCTGCTCAGCAGGGAGTCTGCTTGGGATTCTCTCTCTCCCTCCCTCACTCTCTAATAAATGAATAAATCTTTTAAAAAAAATGCACTGGTATGGGTGGTAATAAGGGAACTGTATAAAAAAGAGAAGGGAACACATCTGCAGATGCTCAGATTCAAAAGTTACCATATAATTTTTATAATTTCATTCTGGAAAATAACCTCATGGCATTTACCTGATGAATCTATATACCTAATTGCAATTACCACCTCAAGATTGTTGTGAGGATTCAAAGAACAGCATTTGTAAACGGATTCGCATTTATACCTAATACTAGGTATTAAGCACCTAATAAATGCAAATCCATTTACAAATGCTGATGTGGCAAATAACAAAAGTTTTGAGTAAATGTAAAGGATACTGGATTCGTCAGGCTGTAAAGTGATCCAGGTTTGGGGGCGTGAGATTACGTGGTATAGTTGAAAGAACATGGTCTGTGTATTTGATGTGTCTGAATTCAGCATGATTTACTGTGCATTTACTGTGCGATGTGCTGGGAACATGTTGGTAAGCAATACAGACCTTTATAGAACTTGCAGAGGAGGCCATTAGGGAGCATACAAGCAATTATAATGTAAAGATAAAGGTTGCAAATAGGGGAAACACAGAATACTATAGAAGAACAGGGGATGGTTCATAATCCAGTCGAGGGGCCTAAGGGAAGTCTTCCTGAAGGAAATGGTCCAAACAGAGGGCCCAGAACCGCGGGCTTAGAATACAGAATGAGGTTTTGCATATAGTAATGAGGCTGGAGAAGGGGCAGAAGCCAAATGGCTTACAAGCCATATTAAGGAGTGTGGGCTAAAACCGAAAGGTATTGGATTTTAATGCAAGGGAAACAGATGAAGAGCTTCAAGCAGGAAAGTAGAAAGGATGGTAGTGACATGACCTGTTGCATTCTAGACAAAATCACTCTGGCTGCAATATCGTAGAACAGATTGGAAAATGGAAAGATTGAAAAGTATGAAGTTCAGATATGTAGTTGCTAATCTACGATGACAATCGTCCAAAATAATGGTAACCTGTACTCGGGTAGTGGCAATGGAGATGATAAATGTGGATGGATTTGAGACAAGACACCATAATGTAAGGGATAGGCGAAGGAGATTAAGATATGGCCAGAGAGGTAGGGAAAAACCAGGAATATGGTGTCATGAGCCAAAACTCCTTCCAAGGAATGCCAACAGTGCCAACTGCTTCCAGGTCAAGGGAGATAAAAGACTGAAAATATTTATAAGATTTATAATCAAGGAGGTCCTTGGTAAAAACCACCTCAGCAGCCTGGAAGCAGGGACGGGGGGGGGGGGTGGCGGAGGGGTGGAAGTATTGGTATGCAAATAGGCAAAATTTCTGTGGAAGCAGAAACTACCTAACCCTGGGAGTTAGGTCTGAGTCTGAGAGAACAGAGATTTGTGGAGGAAGAGTCCTAGTGGAGTATCCAGGACAAGCAGGAGTCAGCCAGATGAAGAGCCAGAGAAGGACAACCTAGGCAGAGAATGCCACATGTAGCATGTGCTACAGGCACTTTGGGGATACTAAACGTAATTGTGGGACTCTGGGTAGTTCCTTCACCCATTTCCTCATCTACATAACGGGGACAATAATATTGATATTGATAGTATTTATCCCATAGGACTGTTGAAGGCTAAAATAATTTATGTTGAATACTGGATACACATTAGGGACTCAATCAATGATAGCTCACCACCCCCCCACCCCTCATTAAAGCATCACAATAGAACAACACTTTCAGATTTTAAAAAATGAATTTAATCTCTCTCTAGAAACAGTGCACTGATTTTACAAATGTTCACATTTGGTTTTTTGTTCACCAAGATGATGTCAGTACAGCTAGTGAGATGCAGCACGCCACCCTCTCCTTCTGGAACAGAAACCAGACTGCAAAGGGCACTGAGTACACAAGCTAATGAAACTCGGAATGACAAGACAAAGAGGGCAGAAACTGTTAGTGTGACCCAACATTCTAACATGCCTGTTACATCAAGTATGGTCATTTGAGGGTGTGGGGAGAAGACAAACGAGGAAAATTCATTTGGGTACAAGGTAATGGAGTCTGCAAACCAGTACTTCACCCCCAAATGAACAAGAGCTGTTTAGAACAAAATGCTATTTCGAAACACATGGTTTGTACAGGTATGTTTTCTCTTGTAGTTTTTGTAAAAAAGTATCAAAACCTTCATGTTTTTAAATATATATATACATATACAGGTGGCTTTTTTAAAATTACTTTTTATAGCACAAAGTGTTTGCAAATGCAGAGGGTTTCTGCTGATTCTTGGCTATGCACATGGTGCATGGCCTAAACGAACAGAGCTTCCTGATTTCTTATATTAACTGAAAATTTGAAGCTATAATTCTTCCACCTCTAAGTTCTCTGTATCCTGAAAATCCCCAATACCCTAAAAATACAGTGTGAGAAGACTCCGATACTCTTATCTTCATGCATTGATGGGAAAGGAAGTTATTTACTCTGCATGTTTAATTGCTAATTCATTTATATTCTGTGAAACAGTGAGTCCAGCTGGAGTTAGGAAGAGGAGTGAGGCTCACATTCCTGTGCTCTCTCCCGACTCCTACCAGCACCTGACTAGACAGTGCTTGGGGTTCCCTCTGCAGACTACCCATCTCCAAATTTTCATTTTCTCAATGTTGAGAAAAATCTCAGAGGCTCTTGACAACACGGAGTGCTTCTGTGAAAATTCCATTACCCTTATATTCAAAAAAAGATCAACTCAAACATATGAAACGCAGTCACTATTTCCCTTTGGCCACTGGAAGGCTGGAGGCTAAAGACTGTCGTGTCTGCAAAGTGCTGGCGATGCATCCTGATGAACCCTCCATGATGCACTCCGTGCCTCGTACGCAATAAATGACTAAGAAATGTTTGCATAATGGAATCAGAAATTGAACAAGTATTCTATAAAGTGCTTACATTGAACCTGTCTTTCCATTCAGCCTCATTTCTTGCTAAGTCCCCCTTGAGCCTTTTGCTCGTTACAATGAATTACATGCAGGTCCCTACAGTCCCCATGCTGTTTCATGCCTCTGTGTCCTCCACTGCCTGGAGCAGCCCGGACACCCCGACTTAGTTTTTAAGACTTAGCATAAGGTCACTTCCACAATGCCTTTCTTGACCCCATTCTCCATCTCCATACATAGAAATGACCTCTCTCCTTTGTGCCTTAATAGTACTCTGAAAAGAATCTGTTCCTTTTTTGTTCCACGTGTCTTCCTCTACTGTTACTGTGAACTCTGTAAGGACAGTAAACACTTGAGTGCAGTGCCCGGCACTTAGCTGGTACCTGGCAAATGGTTTCAATGAATGGATATACCGCAACCGTAGAGAAAATTAGAAGGATCATAGTACTTATTGCCATCAATTTAATTCCGATCTCGAGGTTAAACGTTACCTCAACCTATTTTATAAATAATCATGCCATCAAGAGTAAATAAATAAAATTTTAGTTTTCTGTTTCTGGCAGGCTATTTCTACCAGTGTCTTCATAATTCCACTGGAAAGATAGGCCATTAGATAGGTAGCAGGTTTGGTACAATGCTCAGGCAGCCCAAAGTAGTCTTTTGGAGAAGGAAAGGGAGGAAAAGGTCTGGGACCAGTTTCTCTGAAACAGAGGGAAAAAAAATTTCTGATAAATCTTCTACCCTCCAGGCCTTATGTCTAGATTTCCTTCCAGCTCTATAGTCCAATGACTCTATGATTTGTTATTGGCTGTAGATACATGATAGCACAGGGGCAAAAGGCAACAGAAATGCAATAACACCTCAAAATGAGGTTCAGGAGCCTCCAAGACTAGAGAGGGAGGATGGACCTGACCCCCTCAGATTTCATCCTACTGACTACCATCGGACACGTGAGGACTCTGCAATTCATCTTCTGTAGCCGCTCCCAGAGCCGCCTCTTCCAAACTGCACTTGTAGTATATTCAAGAAACATGGATGTCTCTGAGAAAGCTGTGTTTCATCATCATTTTGAGATCTCAGGCTGAACCATCCTGACTCCATTTTTGTTTGTGTTTGTTTTGCTTTGTTTGTTTTTTCTGGGAAGGCCAAGATCTGATTCAAAGTTTAGAAACTACACATTAGTCACTGTTCTCATTTCCCCAGGAAATTCTATTTCTTTGGAGGCAGGTCATAGAAAAAGTTGCCTGTTTGTTTTCTGTAAATCTCAATGACTTTTTTTTTTTTGTCATTTTTCTTCAGTCAAAAATAATTTTACTTTCCATTCTTGAAAGAATAGTAGTAAGTGAATAAGCTCCATAGGAGTTGGCCACCTGTTCTTAAAATTCTATTTGGTATTGGTCTCTAGGTCAGTTGACTCTCAATGAGTGTTTCAGGACCACAACACACGCGTATCGTGAGGAAATTGCTTGTTTACGCAGAGCATAGGGCCGAGGCTCCAGAACACAGTTGTTTTTCTCAGAAGTGAGGAGCTCACGAGTGACGTGGAGAAAGGTTCTAGGAGCAGGGTTATAGAACTCCTGAATGCCTGCCTGGGAATGCGAAGGGTATCAAGCTGGTGAGATATCCAAGCTTCACTGAGTTGGGGGCTGCTGCGGGGAGGGGTGTCAGAATTTGTTTAGTTTGTTCACATGTCTTGTCCCTGGCTGTCTGGTGGGAGGGAAGTGGCAGAACAGCAGAGTTAAGAAAAAATCAGATCTTGGATGAGAGAGCTGGCGGGGCCAGAGTTCCTTCTGGGACCATGTTTTCAATGGTAGATCCCGCAAAGAGAAAAAAGCACTTCTCCCACCTCTCCCAACACCCGGGAAAAACAACAAAAAGTGTCCATAATGAAAAAAAAAAAATCTATACATATACTCAGAGTTTTTTCTTTTATTTACAAAGTAGTAAACCAAATCCCTGTGTGAACATATATATTCAATAGGCTATAACGTTGTGTATGCCATTTCCCTCTCGTAGGACTTCAAGTTTGGCCACTTTTTCTGACTTCAACCTAAAGCTACTTTCCTCTATATGAGCACATGATGGTAGCAAGCCTGTGTTGTTTCCCCCACTTATAGGAAATGGCAGAGAATAAGGGAAAGGGAGAAACAGAGATGTAACAGAACGCACTCCACTGTCCTTATCCTCACCCACTGCGTGTCTCAGAGGTTCAGTGCCTGAGCCAGTCTCTACAGGAAACTTGGGCTGTTCTAGAAATGCCTCCACTTAGCGCTCTACGAGTAAGGATGGCACTCTGTACCTGCTTCAGAGGAAATATAATGAATTCAACCCAAGCATCCTGAAGGAAAAGGAAGTTACTTGAAATGTCGAACTTTAAAATAAGCAGTAGCCAAGGTTCGGGCATGTTCTCGCCTGAGCTCACGAGAACTGGCACCGTGTGACGTCTGTGCACTGGCCTCAGCCACAGAAGAGAAAGCCCAAGTGGGAGTCATGGCAGCCATGGGTGAACTGAAAGGCTTTGCCTGACTGACTGGGGTCCCAGGAGTTGCCAGAGGTGGGGAAGACCTGCCTCTTCCACCACGTGTGTACCAAATCACGGCATCCACTTTTTTGAGCCAAATTTCCAGAGGCTTCTCTGAAAACGACAGATGCCCCTCCGTGGACTGTTTTCCCATGTATTTCTCTGTATGGATTCAAACAGCCCCAGGCGCGCCTCTTTCTACAGATCTGTCTCTCTCACACACATACACATAGGAACATCAATGCACGCGGAGTCTGCATGGTGGGCCAGTCATACCAAAAATAAATACTCTCATGTCTCTAAATTATCTATAGAACTAATCTTATTTCTGAAATATGTTAATAAATAATCTAAGTGGGGGAGGGAGTTGAAGTGTTTTCTTCTTTTTCTCACTTATGTTGATGGAAGCCACAAAGCATCATCATTTTATATACTTGAAAAAAAAAAAAAAACCCAAACTCCAAAACCTAAAAAAGCCCCCGCAAACCAAACACCCTCTGTAAATATAGTTTTAAAATGATGAGTAAGCTACTGTACCATCAGCCCCATTTGGTTATGTACATCGTGTCAGTCACTCGGCAGTAGCCATTCCATGAAGTCCCCATGGCAGTGCAACCGGTTAAAAAGTGTATAAAACATTATACATATAAAAACTCTCACATCCTTTGGATGTTTGCAGTTCATCATAACTTTGTGGTTACCTTTCCGCAACATAAATTAAAAAGAAATCACACACACGCGCACACACACACACTCACTCACTCACACAGACCCATATACAGAAACACCTTCATGCAGGCATACACCATCCAGAAAGTGTAGTGGATGGGACTAAATTCCATGAGGCACGAAGGGAGTGGTCCCATCCTCAGGGCAGTCCATCATCTTCAAGGCTTAATGCCACTCGCTGGGGAGACAGAGCAAAGACATCACCATTAGACCCACAGGAGCTGTTTACGGAGTCCCCACAAGGCAGCAGACATTCTGTTACTTGACAGGCATTAGCCCACATAATCTTCACACTACCCCGGGAGACAGGTTTGTCGTCTTTATTTTACAGATGAGGAAATGGAGACTCAAGGAGCTTTAACAACATTTGTCCTGGATCACATAGCAAGTGGGTGAACTAACATTTGAACCCAGACCTGGGTGAATCTAGAGCTGTCGCTTTCTCCATCATTCTTTTTTGCCTCATGGTAAAGGAGTGCTGCAGAGGTCTCAACTTTCTCAGTCCTTCCTTATAGGATTTTAGGTTTGTTCAACTTCAGTGTGTTAGCTCTGGCCAACGTTTAATCCCAGGCCATTAGCTACTTGTCTCTAGCTTTTGAGTCACCAGTAGGCAGGCGATCTGCTGCACCCATCGTAACTGATCATACAGAATCGGAAGGCGGTACAGGTCAATTAAATTCAATCCCTCTTTTTCTCAACCCTACTTTCTAGTTATTAGATGCTAGAATTCCCCTGTCACAAATGGCTGACTGTTAGTGGGCTGAGCCCATTAAGCCCTGAGCTGGTTTATTCCACTGGAAGAGCAGACAGTGGACTTAACCTCTTTCCTCTACTGACAAGAAATCTGTTTCTCTAATTATTCCAATGTTCCCTGATTCTCTTAGACTCTGAGAGTTCTATACAGACCACCCTTGAAATCTGCATAGTGTCTCAGTTCCCTTCCTTTCCTTCTGAGTGTTTTCTCCTCCAGGCTACCTCTCTAGCTTTCCACAACTGGGTCTGTCGTAATCCTGTTTTCCCACTCTTCCGTTTCCTGAGTACACTCATTTAGGCAGACCCATGTTTCAATATCTTTCTCCTAGCTAAGTGAATTGGGGTAACCACTTTACCTCTCTGAGCCTTGGTTTTACCATCTGTCACATGGGAGTAAGAATAGGAACTACCACAGAGAGTTGCTGAGAAACCAAATGAGATCATCTCCGTAGAGTGCTTAACACACGTGGGGTCCACAGTATTTTAGATCAGCCTGACCAGCCTAATACAGTAGAACCAGACTAGCACTTCCCATCCATGGACAGCCTACAGACATTAAAAAGTGACCCCACTGCCTTTCAAATCATCTTTGGGTTATTTGTGGTTTGGGTGAAGGCCATGGCCTTGCTCTACTAGCAAAGACACTTGAGACCCTCTTCTTTTGTCCAGGTGCCCTCCCACTCTCTCCAAGACGAATCTCTACACCAAAGGCAGTGACGGTGGAGTGATCTGAGAAAAGGACAAGGGGGGACAACAGGCTGTCAAGGATACTGATTCTCGGAGCTCCCAGGTTATTCACCCCATGATATAAGCGGAAAGAGCACGGACTTTTTGTGTGCATACAGACTGGAGTTTTTGTCGTGGTTCTGCTACTTCTTTGTTGTGATCCTAGGCAAGTTATTCAAATTCTCTAGTCTCAGTTTCCTCATCTGCAAAATGGGGCTAATCATCTCAACTCTATCAAGTTACTGTAAAAACTATACAAGGAAATGTACATAAAACACTGAGTCGTGTCTGACACACAGGAGGTTCTCACTAAATGTCGATTTCCTTCCTCCTCTCCTGCTCTATTTCCCTGCAGCTGACAGGAGCTTACTCTTTGGGCCTAGATGCCTCAGGAATAGCTCCTCCAGAGGGGTTATTGGCCCCTTGGGACACAACGCCGCCTGACACGTGTAGAGTGCTTTGTGACTCACAAAAGCTCTCTCACCTACGCTGTCCCGCCTGAATGCTATGAATTCAGGAGGCGGATAGAATGGGGGATATCATTCTTATTTTACAAATAGAAGTGGGCAGAGAGAAGTGACTTTACCACAAGGCTATGGAGCAGTGAAACTGGGAGCCACCTCTATAAGCTGAGCTCAACCCTTCTTCCACTGGGCACGCCCCAAGGCTGTAAAAGTTGGTCAAGCCCCTTCTTCTGCGATTGGCCGAGGTTAAGTCTCAAGGCCCTCTGCCAGCCCTCCTCACCTGCTCCACTTCATGTCCCCTGCTTCCCCTTTGTGAATAGTGTGCTTCAGCGGCAAGGCAGTCTGCTCTGCCCCATACTCGATCATTTCTTCCACGCGCCATTTCCTTGGTCTACACCAAGCTCATCTTTCCTCTTTGCCCCAATACCCAGCTTACAATTGGCAGCCTTCCGGGACCAGAATGCCGTCTAGGATTGGCTGCACCTGCCTAGGCTCACGCCCTCACTCACCAGCCCCTCAGACTCAAAGTGGCACTGCCCTACCTTGCACTTGACGACAGGCAGCTCGGAAAGAGTGTTCTTCGGGAGTTGGTGCAGCTGTGACCTTGGTTCCCCCGGCAAGACAAAAAGCTCCTTGAGGGCAGGGGCTGGGTCTTCCAGTTCTCTGGTCTCCCCAAGACAGGGCTCTGCCCACAGTGGGTGATCAAAGCTGCTGATTGCCTGACAGGGGGATGGACTGGATGACCTATGAGGTCACACTCAGCCCCCTGACTCTGCTATAGAACCATGACATCTGCTCCCCCAACAGGCCAGGCCCTATTGTGCCCCTCAGCCTTGGCACATGCTTCTTTCTGGAATGCCATTTCCCTCCTTCTCTTGCTGAAAAACTGCTATGAACCTTTCAAGGATACAGTTCATCTATCACAGCCTCTGTGAGACATTCCCTGCCTGGTTTCCCAAATAGAATTCACAGCTCCATGGATGGTCCCATAGCGTCTGTTCAACTAATATCACCGGGAGCCAGCTATGCAGACCTAGGCCCCAGGGAAACCAATGAATCAAACAAGCCCGCCCTCAAGGAGTTCACAGTCTAGTGGGGAGACCAATGAGCAAAAAGACAAGTTGACTACAGTGTGACAGGTGCTGGGACGGAGAGAGGCTGTGGAAGAACAGAGAAACTGGGGAAAGCTTCCTGGAAGAGACCCCTGAGCTCCACCAAGGCACTCCGCGCACAACTGTACAATAGTTAGTGACTCTCACCCCCCCACCAGCTCCTCGGAAATGGGAACCTTCCTTCCCTATTTGTGAACGCAGTGTATCTGGGACTGCGCTTGGCTCATGTGCGATGAATGCATTTGAACTGCATGGCCACAGTTACCCTTCCAGGCCAAAGGTTCTGAAAACTTACTCAGCAGAAACAAAGACATTGGCTTCTTTACTGTAGGAACAGCCTCTAGCTGCAGGGGGGGTCCTGATCCATTTCCACCCCAACCACCTGCCCCAGAGTGTCTGTGTCCCCAGGGCCTAGGATAGTGCCTGGCACACTTGATAAATGTTGGAAGGAGGGAAGGAGGGAAGGAGGAAGGAAAAGAGGAAGGAAGAAAGGAAGGAAGGGAGGGAGGGAGGGAGGAGGAAGGAAAGGAGAAAGGAAAGAAGGAATTCTCCAAACAAGGGATACTTACTGCAGGATAGACATGGCCAATCTGAGCAGTTCTCCCTATGTGGAGCTCATCTTCGTCCTCCTCTTCTGTTGTTTTCCTGTACACTGGGTTGTCAAAATTCATGCTTTTGGTGTTCTTCCGCTTCCAGTTTCTCCAGATCAGGTAGCCACTCATGCACAGCAGGGCTATTACCGCTGGAGAAAGGGACACAGCATGCTGAACTTCCAGGAAGCTCTAGTCCATTGCTCAGATGTCAGTGCATTTCACGCCCTCTCTCCAACTTTCCTCAGGTGGTTGTGTGTGTCCTTTTTCTGCTGCTTGGAAGCCCTTCTCCTATCTCTTCCTTTATTAACTACCCCTCTTTCAAGGCCCAGCTCAAATGTGAAGTCTCCTCCACTTCCTGGGACCAGTCAGTTGCTCCTTCCTGTGTGTTCCCAGCCTGCGGTCCTGTCCTTTATATGTGTGTAGCCCCAACTGAGCTCTTTGTGGGCACAGACTTTGTCTTCACCTCTCTGTCCAGCTCAGTAACATGTACGGAGTGAATGAGTGAATTTCCTCACCACACCTTTGTCCTAACACGGCTGCCACCTTGCAATTCTCTGAGAAAACCGTTCTTACCCCAAATGGAGGGTGGATGGTGGGGTGGGGGTGTTTCTTCCCAAAGCAGGGGCTCTGCAAGGAGAGGCGCATCTCTGGAAGGGGACACAGCAGGGAGACCCTGGCTCTGAGGGGCAACCAATGAACGTATTAATGAATAAAGAAGGAAGTTCTCTAACACAGTTGGGTAAAAATGGGGCCAGTGGCTTCATGAGATAGTAGGTGGTCACTGTGAGCTTTCAAGTGAAGGCTAATGACAGCTATCCAGGCTGCCTGAGAGGGAGTGTTTTACTTTGGTAAGACTGTGATCATCAATACTCATTAAAGATGGGGACAAGGCCAGGACAACTGTCACCACCATTTATGGTTCCAGAGACCCAGCTCTGCTGTGAGACCAGATCAGGAATGGAAGAAGACACACAGGGAAACGGGAGAAACCAAAGTGCTAGTATCATCAGTTCTGTATGTTCAGACAAATCTGAAAAAAGCAGATGAAAAACTATTCGAAATAACTTCAGTTCATCAAGAACTAATGTAAAAAAATCAATAGCTTTCTTATCAATGAGCAATAACCAATTAGAAAATGGAACATTCATACCAGCCCAATGGAAAACTACAAAATACCTCAAATAACCTAACAAGAAATGCTCAAGTCCTATTTGAGCTATACAATTTTACAGAAGGATATAAAAGAAGACTCAAAAAAACTGGGAGATGTGTCATGTTCCTGGATGGGAAGCTTCAGTATTGTAAAAATGTGACTTCTCCCCACATCAACTTATGTATCCAAACCATAAGATTCCATTATGATTTTTAAAGAATTAAGATGATTTTAAAGTTTATCTAGAAGAGAAGTTGAAAAAAAAAACTAAGAAAATATTGCAAGAACAATAATGCCCTACTAGGTATTAAAATCTAGTGTGAAGTTGTTCTTGCCATATAAAGGAACGGACAGGTAACCAGTGAAGGGCAGTGAACAGCCCAGAAGAAGATCAAAGTATGGATAAGCATGTAGTTTATAATAAAGGTTTATAATAAAGATGACAATTCAGGTCAGAGGGATGGATTATTCAATAATGGTCTTGGGAAAATGAAAGAGGCCTGTAGAAAAAAAAAATTAAATCTCTGCCTCACAGCATATTCTAAATAAATTCCAAATGGATTTCTGTCTAAATATAATGTCTAGTAGAAAAATATCTATGAAGATATTTTAACAATTAACATTGAGACAGAGCTTCCTAAGGAAAACACGAAACCCAGAAATCCTAACACGAAAGAGGAAAAGATCAGATACTTAAAATTTTCAAATTTGTGTGTAGCAAAAAACCACAAACATTTAAAAATCAAGTGGGAGTAAGGAAAAAAATATCTGTAATGTATATTACAAAGGTTTAATATTCCTTATGTATAAATATTTCTACAAATAAGAATAAGATCAAGAACCAAGAGAAAATCAAGACAAGACTGGGAGTGAGCAATGCATTAAGGAGGCAATGTAATTGGCCATTAAGCATATGAAATGATACTCTACCTCATAGGGAAATGCCAGGGTAAGAATACTCATCTTTCACCCCTCAGAAGAACAGAAATTTAAAAAATATTAATTACATTGGAGTGGGTTCTATCAAGGAAACAGACTACACACGCCCTTCCTTCTATCGAGTAGAGGATGGCAGGAAAGGGCTTGGTTTCTCTTTCACTAAACAATGTTCAGAGTATTTTCCATTCATTCTAGTCAAACTCAGCCCGCCATACTCTCCCCATCATCTATATGGTTAACGCCTTACAAGGCCAATTCAGATGGCCCCTTCTCCGGAAGGACCATTCCCTCTCCTCTGCAGGGCCCCATGTAGCTGTATGTATGTAGTATGTGGTAACACCTCTCTTGCATCACTTTTTAGGACCAAGTCTGAGTAAAGACTGAAAGCTCTTAAAAAGTCTTTTATCTTTCTCTTCCCGGGACCCTTGGCACCCAGCACAGTCCCTTGCATGGTGTAGGAGTTTTGAAAACATTCACTCATTAGCTCACCACCACAGTGGGGATTTCCAGGATAAATGGACAAAGTCCTGGTCCCTGAGGTGCCCGTGGGCCAGCAAGGGGGATCAGCCTATGAATGGGCAGTCACAGTTCGAAGACCCCATCAAGAGATGAGACTAGAACAAGACAGCATATTCAGGATACCATGTGAACCGTGGGGTGGGAGAGACTAAATCAGCCTCTGTGGTTCTCCGAGAGGTTGAACTCAGTGTTATATTTTGGCCATATTGCACTTCTGGTTCCAAGCCCACCCCTCCCTTACCCTCCCTTGCTTGTTCCCCTTCCTGGCTTTGCTTCAGGCTGTTTCCACTGCTTGGACTGCTCTGGATTCTTCTTCATTGGGCTGACTCGGTGTGAGTCATTTCCTATCATTTCCACTCGGAAACCTTCCCTGCTCACTTCCCTTCTCTTCCAATTCCAAGTTAAGTACTTCCTTGGCACTTCCACGGACCGCCTGTGGCTTAGACTTCCCATGTTGTGGTCAAATCATCTGCTATGTGGGTCTCTCCGACAAGACTAAACTTTCTGAGGACAGGAATCATGTCTTCTTCATTTTTAATCACCTTCTCTCCCTTCTCTCCACTTATCACAGAGTCTGGTACATCGCAGCTGCTTGATAAATGTTTGTTGAAAACCAAACCGAAAGGAAGCAAGATAGCATGGTTTCCTAAAGGAATGGCAAGCAGCGCTCCTCATTAATTCAACAAAAATTTTATATCCTACCATGTGGCAGCCACTGCTAGGAGCTGGGGAGAGTGGCGAGCAAGAGAGGCCCCAGCCCTGTGCCCATGGAGCCAAAAGTCTGCCTTCAGGCAGGGGGAGGGTGAACGCTGGGGTACAGTAAGGCATTAGGACAGCTGCCGGGGGCCAGGTCCTGAAGGGTCTTACGTGCCAAGCTAAGATACCAAATGACCACACTGGGAAGTGGGCTGGAAATCTCCTGGGGCAGAAAAGGTCTTTGAGCCACAGTCTCCTCAATGGGACAGGTCAGTGTGCTCAGGGCTAAGGCTAGTGCTTTTCCCCAGAGCCTGAGCGTGGTTGCTCTCGTCTCCCTGGAGATTTGGGGCCACACTCACCCATGGGCACGAGGATCCCAATGACCGCAGCAGTGACGGTTGAGTCCATCTTGCCGCCTTCATTCCCATCTGCAAAACACAAACGTGCCTAACGATGCTCCATCGCCGTAAGCCCAAGTCCTTGCTTGCCTCAAGCTATAAGAACTACCAGCTGCTTCTTGCTCTCATTCCATAGTGAGGCTCCTGGCTAATGCCTAACAATTCAGTCTTTCCAGATCCTATGAAAACTCCCCCGACGTGAGCACAACTGAGGTTATATTCACTTCACACGTGGGGAAACATAGTCTTCTGGGGTTCTGGGGCCTCACAGAGAAGCTGCAGCGCTGGGACCCAAACCCAGGATGTGTGCCCCACATCCCTTAGCCACCCCACAGGACCACAGTGCTAGGAAGCTGGGTGGTGGTGGTGGGGTGCTTGGCGGAGTGAACACTTAGGTCTCTACGTCGCTGACTGAGGCAACTGCCTTTTCCAGCCCGTACCTATTGCTTTGTCTCTGTTGCTTGGGCGGTCTCTCTGTCCGTCTGCATTATCAGCTTATTTTCAATAAGTAATTAAAATGGGAGGCACTATAAGTAGTGGAACCAACAGCACAGGCTCCTGGGGTCAGACATCCTGGGTTCAAATCCCAGCTCTCCTACTCGCTACCTGTGTGGGCGAGTTACCTACCTCCTAGGGGCGCTGTGAAGGTTAAGTGAGGTAATTCAGGCGGAGCGCTCACTATGCCCTTGCAGGCTTCAGAGCGGGGCACTGCTGCGCCCTCACTGCACATGAGCACACCCTGAGCAGCAGGAGGCGGGTGCAGAGACCTGGATCACAGGCTCTGCCCCGCTGGAGAGGGCCTGGAACTCACCGAGCTAGCCCTCCAAAAGTCAGGGTGAGCGCTCAGCTCTGCGAAGCCAGCTTCTGCCGGCAAGGTGGGCCTGATAAGAAAGGTGCTACCGGGCTGCTTGGTTTCTGGGCCACATATGGAAAAATGTTTTAAAGATGGTTTATCTTCTTAAGTGAACTCGCCCTGGCAGGTGACTTAATTAAAAAAAAGGTATTTGCTGGCTCATGAGACAGAACATTTCTAGCCATGACAAGTATTGCTTTGGATGATTTCGTAAGTGCTGAACTTAATTATTTTCATGCCAGGGTTTGGAAAGAGGCACAAGCAGACCATAGTGACGGGTGTTACTAGCTGGGGAACCGGCTAAGGGAGCTAAGAAAAGAGACCAGAGCTTCTGAGGTTTCCAGATCAGAGGAACGCTCCCTCATCGCTGCGTCAGTAGTGAACCCAGGCACATTCCCAGCAGCAGCAGAGGCTGTGCACGCGAGCCCTACTGTTTACACCACCTCCTTTGTCTCTCTAGACAAGCTCTTGAAGCAGGTGGGGGGAAGGGCAGTTATCAGTCCCACTTTGTAGGTGAAGAAACTGAGGCTCAGAGATAGGAAGTGGCTTCCCACAAGACCCTCTACAAGTCAGGGGCACCTCAGACTCCTAAATCATAGGTGGGCACTTCTACCGGTTCCCTCAGAGAGGTCCAAGATTCTGCTCCGGTGTGATCTCTTCTTCCACATATCTCCCCCCCAAACATCCTCAGCCCTCCCCAGCACCTCCCCAGCACCTCCCCACCCACCCAGGCTTCCTGAAGGCCCCTCCCATGTCACCAAAGAATGCAGAGCTCATTTCCTTACAGTGCTGGGAGTGGTTGCTGGTCGCAGGGCTTGGGGCAGATGGCTTGATGCTGGGAGCCCTGGGGATGCCAACTGAGCTTGGGACCACAGCTGCCAGACTTGGGGTCTCTGTGCTGTGGTTCTGGTATGTGAGGCTGTGGACAGTGGTCCCAGGGGCTCTCGTGTTTTCCGCTGGTGTCCTCGCTGTGGTAGGAGCTAACGTCGTAGTTGAGGTAGATTGAGGTGCTGGAGGGGAAATGCCAAGGAGGTCACTTGCACAGAGAATTGTCTTGCTTTAGGCCTAACTCACTGCCTCTACAAATTATACTTATGAAGTCATCCTCAAGGCTCAGCTCAAATGCCACTTCCAGGAAGCCTTCCCTAAACCTCCTGAATGGGCTCTGACCTTTCCTCTAGCTGAATCCCAAGTACTTTGTGTTTAAACTGCACATTGATTTGATTAAGACAAGTCATTAAAACAAGGCTATAGAATTAGGTGTGGGCAAGACCACTGTAAAAGACTGGGGGGGGGGAATACTATAAATCTAGAAGGATTTTGCATGCATATTGATACACTACTAAATTCAAATTCTCACTCCACTTTAAAGAACTGGACCTGGAAATCATAATTCATAAATCTGATGTAGCAGATCTGGGCTTACGCCAAAGGCCTTGGCCCTGTATAACACTGGACAATGAATAGAGGCTTACATGGCCTAAGTATTAACTATTAGTCCTAATCATATCACAGAAGGGCTTCTGTGTCATGTGTCCAGTTCTAGGTAAGGAATGGGCAAGCTCACAGTCACCTGCATAGAAATAGGAACCGAAGCCATAGGAAACCTTAATTTCAGGTCTTCAAGGGCCTCCAGAAAGCCCCTGAAACTGAGTTTAAAATGTTGTCTGTAAATGTGCATTTTTTCTTGGAAGTGAGAAGAGAAAGCCTTGGAAGGACCCTGTGGGACACCAGCATTCAAGGACAGTAAAGAAGGCAACACACAGCCAGAAAAGACAGACAAAAACCGGGAGCATATGGCATCCCGGAAGCCAAGGGAGGAGTTTAGCAGGAGGGGATCTCACTTTGCTGGGGGCCTGCCCCCTGGTAGATCTGCTTACCTCGGTAGCACCTCTTCATGTCTGGGCCCAGCCACATTGTGTCAGGACAGGCACACGTGTACTTGGGAGAGGGGCTGGAGATCTGAGGAGCAGGAAGGCACAGGTACTCACAGCCGCCATTGGGCTGGGCACTCAGCTCACAGGCATCTGCAGCTAATGGCACAGAGAGAGAGAGGGAGAGGGAGAGAGTTGGAGCAAAGACAAGACATGCCAAGTCCTCCCTTCTCCCAAGGATGAGGCCCTTCCCAGTCGGCTTGCTCCAAAAGCTTTCTCTCCTACTCTTTTTGGGCACATCCCAGCCTTGGACCTGGTGTTCCTTCCCCCACCCCCCACCTCCCTTCAATCCTGACGACAATGCTGAGAGGTGGGTGCATGGCCCAGAATGACAGATACCAGAGGTCTGGACTCAAAGAGGACAAACTGGTCCAAGTTACAGTTCTAGTAATTTTACAGTTGGAATTTAAACTGAGGTCTGTTGGATTCCAAAGTCCATGTTTCTCCCTCTATGCCATGTGCCATGTCTCTTTCTTATTTAAACTTCCAGGTCTAGAATCAGGCACCATGCTCATCCCCTCTCTCCCCTGTGCCTTCCCCCTGTCCCTCTGGTGGCCACAGCTGAGTTACAGGTAGCCTGAGCACTATATCCTAGCAAGAGAGCCCGGGGAGCCCGACGAGCAGGATTCCTGGCTTCTGGTCCCAACAAACTGGATTGCTTCATGGCCTGGGGATATATTAGCTTACACTGATGCAAAATGGGTACACATCATAAATGAGAGGCGACGTGCTCCCTCCTGGCAGAAGTAGCTCTTGGAATCAGACGGACCTGAGTTTCGGTTTTAGTTCCGTCATTTTACCTTTCTGAGCCTCAGCTTTCTAAATGAGAAAAGTAACACCCACTCCTTGTAGGCACAAATGGAACTTTAGATTATAGTTTTTATACCCAGCCTTATTTCACCAAGAGCTGAAGGAAATGAGGTAAAATGTGTGACAGCAAAGCACACTCCCAACGAGAGTGGCTGCCGCCACGTGTCCTGGGAACGCTGGGAAATGGCGTTACGGGAACATCACACAGCCCGACTAGTGCAGGGAGAGGGCGCGGGCAGGGGCCGCAGGGCCAGGCAAGGCTCACCTCTTGGCTGCTTCAGCTCATGGAAGATGACAATGTCATGTGGGTTATTGAGGTTCTCAGCGAGGACAGAGATTTCCAGGCCATTGAGCCGATTTGCACTGAAAATGGCCTCATTCTCCAGGTCTGTCCAGAACACCTTGTCCTGTGGGGGTACAGATGCACAGGATGGGAGGCCTAGAGCTTAAACCTGTGACCTTAGTCTCAGGGCTTGGCCCAAACCATTATCACAAAAACTGCCCTGACCTCTCCCCTGAGCTCTCCTGCCCACAGATTCACAGGAGGCTCAGGGGATGGGTTCTCAGCCACTAATCTGTGGCACATACTCTGGTTCCCCTCTGTCATGGAGGATTATTTGTTGATTCTGTGCTTTGGCCTGAAGACTGTTCATTAATGCTGAGTTAGGCCTGCTTCCTGGAGCCGAGGAGAAACCCAAGGTCCGGTCTCGATGGCTGTTACCCCTACCGGGGCCTGGGACCAAGATTGGAGGGGACGTATGAGCTACTGAGGACTATTCCCTGGTAGGTCCTCCTACAGCTTCTGGGTACACACAGACCTGTATGCATCCAACATTCTGTCCACATAAGCCTACAGGGTCACCCGCGGGCGACTCCACAACGACAGGTGCAACCATGCAGCTCTACACACAGATCTGGACACGTACCCACAAAAGCACACTTGGACCAGAACAGACACTTGGCCAAGTCTTGGTGTAAGTACTTACATATTCACAAGCACCAGCACATACCAGAAATGCACGCTTGTAAATGGCTGGATTTCTGGAGACACACGCATACACTTTACACGTGCATGTCACACACACGCACAAGCACCTACATGTGTCGGCACACACCTATCTTTCCAAGAGGGGGCTGGACTTGGAGGTGGGGCTCTGCCCAGAATTTCAGAGCAGTGCTGAGTGATGTCACTCCAAGCAAATATGGCCCAATAGCCACCATAGACCATGGTCCCCTTGCTTTCCTTCCCCTTGGGGGCAAAGTTAATTTAGGGGAAAAGATCGACGTGGTGAGACCTGGGTTGGTTCTGGGTTACTCGTTCCCCAAGAAGAAAGGTTGTTAGGGCCGAACAGAGGCAGAGGAGGGGTGGGACGCTCCACCCTCTGGGGAGCTTCGTGAGGACTGAGATAACATCTGATTCACTTCAATGACCCCAGGGTCCAGCAAAGGTCAGCCAAAGTGTGCTGAGCCGAATAGCATCTCTCAGGCTATTTCCAACAGCAGAGTCTAAGGAAATGTATATTCCTTCTTCCCTCCCTCCCTTTATTGTGTCCCTTCTGTATAGGGGTAGAGTGCCAGGCACTGAGGGCACAGAGAGGGAACACACGTGTTCTAGCAACTTCCCTGTGACAAGTGCTCTGAGAGGGGTCTTGGGAAGGAAGCACAGGACAGTAGGCTGCGAGGCCTCTGTGTGCGGGCAGTTCACACACTGTGTACACACAAGTCAGCTGGCTTCCCTCTTCCTTTGTTTCTGTTTGGACAAGTCTCAGAGAGCCATCCTATTTGAAAAGCCTTTTCCAGGCTTTAGCATCCTATTAGGGACATATGTCCCCTCCCGGGGCTCACCTCAAACACAGCTATCCCGAAAGGGTGGCTGAGGAAGTCGGGGGAGGAAATCAGCATCTTCCTGTTGCCTCCGTTGAGGTCAATGCTGGAGAGCTGGTGAAGCTTGGAGTCTACCCAGTACAAGCGCTGGTTCAGCAAATCTGAGGACAGGGGATCAGGTCTTGAGTTTGGAATCCCAACCAGGATCTCTGCTCCTCTGTGCCCATTCCCCTACCCACATTTCCAGGCCAGGCCTTCCATGGAGGCCCGCCTGGGGCAACCATCCAGAAATACAGGCACAGGTACTCTACAGGGGATATAAACACAAGACCCGTGGGGCTCCAGATGGTAGTCAGCACTGGGTAGCTGGACAGGGCCCCAATCCAGGGAAGGCAGGCCTCACCCAGGGTGATTCCATTGGGCCATTCAATGTTGTCTGATACCAGTGTTTGCCGGTCCACACCGTTGAGCCCAGACTTCTCGATCTTGGCCTGGTACCCCCAGTCAGACCAATACATGAACCTAAAAGAGAGAAGAACTCAACTGGAATTTTAGTCAGGGGATGGGGTTGGGGCGGTGTGTGTCAGAGGGCTCAATGAGCCACTGAATATTGAAGATTGTGTTCAGTGGGGGCTAGGAAGGCCTCTGAAATCCGTTGGAACCATTGAATCTTAAGAGTTAGCAGTTGCATTAGTTTCCCCTCATCTGAGAGCCCTGGGAAGCCTGCGTTCCCCGAGAGTCCCCCCAGCTTCAGCCGACCAGCCTCTGAGGCCCCCTCTGCCACTCTGGCAGCTCTAACTGGAGCTCCGGAGGCCAGCGCAGGAAAGGCCCTCGTCAACCCTCTCTTACTTTCCTGGTCTGCAGAGGGGAAAGTAGACGGCTTCCCCAGGGTCACACAGCTAGAACTCAGCCCAGGGTTTCTCTCCCTACTTTCTTGAACATTAATGAGTACCTACTGTGTGCCGGGCAATGAACTGAGAGGTTTTGCCTCACGTACTTATAAACGCAGCCATCACTGCCCCTCTAACCCCATCCCTCTAGAGCAGGCAAAGGAACTCTCAAAAGCAGAAATAAAGCGTTACTCTCTGGTTTTTAAACTTTACGGTGGCTTCTCCTATTGCCCTTAAAACAAAATCCCAAATCCTTCCCACGGCTGACAGGGCTCTGCCTGCTCAGGCCTCTCTCCCGCCACCACCCCACCCTTCCCAACCCCACACGTGCCCCACGGGGCTCCGGGCACCAAGCTTTGTTAGTTCAGAGCTTCAGGCCTCTACCCATCCCCCAGCTCCTTCTCACCGTGGATGTCTTTGCTGTACAGAATCATTTTCTGTAATAGGGCCACCCTGTTATTACCTCCGAAAGCACTAGTTCTTGCCTTCCTGGCATTTAAAAATCGGTTATTTCTGTGGGCATTTGGGTGGTGAGGTGTATTTTCCTATCTATTTCCCCCACTAGTCTGTAAGCTCCTCTGAGGGCAGTCTCGTCCGTCTTGCCCCTCGTTGTGTACCTGTAGGTCGCTCATGTGGGACCCGGAACAGGATCTTGTTTAATATTTGTTGGACAAAGTAATGTGTCCATCCCAGCCCCACCAGAGCCCCTGGAGAGTATAATTATTAGTCCCGTTTTATAAATGAGCACACTGTGGCTCAGAGTGGTTGACTTCCCTCACATCACGCTGTTAATAAGCAGTGGAGCCAGCCTTTCACTTTATATAAAATGCAAGCCAAACTCTAAAGCCTGGAGGTTTCCTTCTCCCCAAAACTGCCTCTGCTGGAACCTGGTGTCAGGCCAAGGCTGCCTGGGCCTGGGGGCCCCCTTTGGCTGGGGGGCTGAGTGATTCTGTTAGTGGCCTCGGAGTCACTCTCTACCCATCCCCATTCTGCTCTGTACACCAAAAAACTGACCCACGTGCGAACCACATCAGTGGGCTAGTCTTCTGGCTTCCTGCTGCATTCAGTGAAATGTCTGAGCAGGAGGACAGAGAGACTGAGGTCAGGGTATTTGTTCTAGACTCCTCTCTACAAAGTTGCCCCCGGCTGGCTACTGCTCTGAAGGTGGCGCTCTTTCCTGCCCTTAGGGTCTAGTGCTGCTAAGGCCACAGTGTTAGGAACAGTGCATCAGATCTCACCCACTCCTCTGTAAAGAGACCCCCCGTTAAGCCTTCCCCAAGTCATCTGGATTCGGGTGTGTGGCGGGTTTCCTGCCGGGACTCAGACCGATCCACACTGGACTGGAGCTGGGCTGGGTGTCACTACGGGCTGGGGGAACACACAGGGAGCAGGGGTGAAGTGGGGGTTAAGTGAGATGACTCATCGTTGGTCGGGTGCCTGGTTGTTCCTATGTATGCAGCGGTCAGTCCCTGCCCAAGGCCTCACACGTTCTGTCAGGGGCCACTGTGGCCCCCAGCCACCCTCACTGAAAGAAGAGGGTTGTTCTTATCCTTGTTTAAAATTAAAGAAACAGTAACAGGAAGAAGCTAGCGATCCTGGGAAACTTAATATGGCTACAGCTGCTGAAAAACCATGCCTTCCTGGGACATCCCTACTGGGGAAGGGAGGGAAGAGTCTTGCTCTGTTCAGAATCACTATCCCCAAAATGGAAGTGTGGCCACAGCAGGACAGCCTGGGTGGTGAGGGGCCCAGAAGCTGTGCACCCAGGGGTGCACCAGACCTAGTCAGTGGTCTCAGTCTTCATTATCTTGCTGGCTGTCCTGTAGGGCAGGGAGTAGATGTGTTTGATGTAACTCCAGAGGCCCATGGAGAAAGTCAAAGTTGGGCAGATTTGGGGATATGAGAAAAAAAAAAAATCCTAAACTCTCTAATGGGCAGAGCTGCCTTGAAATGAAACGGCCCCCATGGGAAATAATGAGCTCCCTGTCTCTGGGAGTGTGGAAGCTGCCACCAGCAGCGTGCAGCAGCCTGAGGAAAGACTTCCTGCCCCAGAAGCTTCCACGAGGGCCATCTCTAGGCCCAACTGTGCTCTGCGATGCACTGAGTCTAGGATATGAGTGAGTGGCAGAGTCAGAACCCTGATGACCACTGCCCACAGAACCCTTGGTCAGGGGTTAATAGTCTGAGGGGCCCACACAGACTTACTTCCCTTGGGCTGTCTGAGTGGCCCACGGCCTTCCAAAGTCCTCAAGATAGCTCTTATCACAGACACAGGAGGACCGAGTGCCTCCTCAGGGAAAATGGGAAGTTTGGGTGGGGATACTCACCCTCTCAGGGGGTCAACCGCGATGGCCCGGGGTTCACTGAGGTCCTGACTGAAGAGAGTGCAGCGGCGGCCACCATCAATTGTGGCCACGGAGATGGTCTTGTTGCCTGAGTCAGTCCAGTAGATGTGCTTGTGGACCCAGTCCACTGCCAGGCCCTCTGGAGAGTGCAGCTGCTCGTCAATGAGGACCTCCTGCTCTGCCGGGTCGCTGGCCTTGTCCAGGTAGGCGCTAGGAGCAACCAGAGCTGGCCATGGGGCAGGGGTCCACCCAGGGGTCCATCTAGTGCTGCCTGGGCACCCCTCCCCTCTCTCCCTCCCCTCTAGGCCATGGCAGTGGATTTTAGAGGAACTTGGCTAGTTTCTATTCTTCCCATTTCCTAGTCCACCAGGGGCAAGTATACGGGCTTGAGTCAGCCATAGCCCCTGGCCTGGAGGAGCTCAGTTTAGTCGGGGGAGAGGAATTTCTAGCCAGGTAATCACAGTACAATGTGATTATGGAAAGCATCAGGGACTCTAGCAGCCAAGAAGCAGAGACTCCATTATCTTGGAGAGCTGGAGAAGGCTCCGTAGTTGAGTCCTGAAAGACTAGCTCACCAGGAGCACAAGGAACAGAAAGCACAAGGAATGGCATGTGCGGGCGCCCAGAGGTGTGTGTTCTGGAACAGCGAGGCATTCGATGGGGGTATAGCGGAGCATGCGAGACACAGACTGGAAGTGAGTGTAGGCAGGGCCCTGCAGCCCAGGCCAAGCATTCAGGATTTTATTCAGGAGGGAGTAACTGAGCAGGTGAGAGGTCATGGTCAGATAGGCATGTTGGGTCACTGTGGCGCTGATGCATGGAAGGGGAGGGGAGGAAGGCGGGGAGACCAGCTAGGGGGCCATTACCGCAGCTGGGTGAGAGGCAAAGAGAATCTGCAGAAAGGCTGTGTCAGTGAGAATGGAGAGAAGGGGCTGAGAACACAGAGGACACGCAGGAGGCAACATTACCAGGACTTTGTCTCCCAAATGCTGTTTTTCCCCAATGCTTTCTCCTCCCCCACGTCCTCCCTCTGGCTGATTAGATCCACAGTGCCCACTGCCACCCATAACTCTGATTCTCCCATCCTGACTACCCTCTGAAGCTCCAGACTGTAAAGCCGACTGGCACCCCTTAGATGTCCCATGGACCTTGAACTCAACACATCTCAAACTACCCCCCATTCCTTTCCCCTCAGCCAGCCAGAATGGCCAACACCCCATCCCACCCACTGCTCCCATATCAGAAAATGGCAGGCTTCTGAGCCAGAAATCCGAACCTCCCAGAATGCACCTCCTTCGGCCCCATACCCAGTCTGTCATCAAATCCTGCCTCTCCCAGGCATACCTGTGGGGCAGACATGGCCCTAGCTGCTTCTGTGTGTGAGTCTAAACTGAGTATGTGTCTGTGCGTTGGGGGTGTGGTACGTATCTAGCTGTCTGTGAACAGCACTTGGTATATCTTCATCCATCCATCCGTCCATCCATCCATCCACCCCATTGTTCTTTTAACAGTCTACCCTGGGCCTGGTCATTGGCAGTCCTGCCACACAGATCTCAGGACAAAGAAAGGATATGATGTCCAAAAAGGGGCCCGGACACGCAGGGAGGCAGGCTTGTGGGATTTGAGAAAGACCTACCAGAGGACCTCCTGGCGTGTGTGAGGGGCCTTCTGGAGAGCGGAAGTTCACGGACTATGGCATCGGACAAAGGAAAGGGCTGGGCTGGGGGTAGTGCCATCCAGGAAGAGTTCCCTGACACCCCAGGTTGGGTAAGGGGCCCCCTCTGTACTTTCCTCTTGGGAAATAGCAGCATAACAGACATCACCGTGTTATGAGTGCTGTCCTCCAGGCAGGACCAGGTCTCAGTCATGTTGGACTGAGTTATCCGCAAGATCTGACCCACAGACATGTAAGCTGCCTTACTGTCCTCACCGAGGCTGAAGCGTCATCCCTCCTGGCCTGGTGGACGGGTTCTCAGGTCTGGCGCTGCCCCCCAGGCCACCAGAGGTCAGTCAAAGCCCAGGGGCGTGGGCTCAGAGGGTCTCTCCCCACAGAGCTCTCCGCCTGGCCAGCCCCAGGGAAGGAGATGGTCTGGGAGTTCCATATCTGTTGTGACCCTGCGTTTCTGCCCAAGTCCCTGTCGGTCCCCAGGGGATTCTGGAGGCGGAGGAGGTACAGAGGTCCCACTTCCTGTACGCCTGTCAGGCCCCCCGCCCCTGCCCCGGCCTGGCTGTGGAACACCTGCCTCCACTCACCTGTAGATCTTACGGTAGGAGAGGTCACACCAGAAGATACGATTGGTGGCCACTTCGACATCCAGCGCCACGACATTCTTGAGCATGGGGATGAGGCGGGAGTAGTCCCGCTTCACCAGGTCTATCCTCCGCACTTCATGCCGGTTCGTGAAGATCAGCGATGGGCTTCTGCCGGCTGCGGTGCAGGAAGGGTGAGATAAACGGTCAGTGCAAGAGGCGAGGGGGGGGGGCGGCGTATGGGGAGGCTTAAGGAGCAAAGTGCCCTGTGTAACGGAAGATCTGTATTCTTTGTATTAGACACAAACTTGTCCCAAATCTTTTATGACTCCCCATTTCCTCCATAGGCTTACACCGAAGGCTTTCTGGGATGTGACCCTAAGCCTCATCTAGCCTCATCACTCTAGCCTCATCACTCATCACTCATCGCCAACACACCTTGACTCCAGCCACCAGACCACCTATGATGACCAGGCAGAGCCTGGCTGCCTCGGGCCTTTGCTCAAGTGGTCCCCTCTGCCTAGAACGCATGGCTCCCCAGCTCCCCTGCTTAGGGCCCCACTGCAATAGCTCACGACAGGGCAATGTGAGCATTAAGTGTTTTAGGAAGGTGACTGAGGTTGGAGTGTGAGGATGAACATCAGAACTAGGGTGAGGTTTAAAAGAGGAGATGCAGCGTCAAGACTCCTCTCCCTGAAGACTCAGTCTTTAGTTTACGCAGAACGTGTTTGGGGACATGACCAGAGATGACGTATCAGGGACATGACCAGAGATGATGTTTCAGGAGCTGACAGGGATCCGGAGGGTTCCTGTGAGCTGGGTGTCATTTGCACTTGACTCTGAAACAGCAGCAGGGGTGGGGTATGTGTAATATATAGCACAGATCATATACGTGCAATGGGGACAACACACGGCAACCCATGCACACGAAAAGCCATTTTTAAACTTAGGAGGCTATTTTAGGAAGTTCACTAGTGACCGAGACATTCCTGACTACTCAGCATGAAGGTCACTACCCCAGAGGCCTGTGAGGGGCCAGCACTGAATTCCAGTTTCCCTCCTGTGGCCTGGTTCTACTCTCATGTCCCAGACCCTACACCTGGAGCTACCTGGGCCTTCTCCCTGTTTTCCAGTGGACACTTCTGCAGGCCACCTGGTCCCTGTCACTGTGCATCTGTGTCAGGTTAACGAGTTCCCTGGGGACCAGGGAGGACCAGCACAGAGTCCTGTGTGGCCTGGGCCTGTGACCTGCGTGTAGTGATGGGTCAGGGGTGGGGGAAGAGAGGATGTGGTACCCAAAGAGGGTCTGGAGAAACAAGAACTCTGGGTGCAGGAAGGAGCAAGAAGGAGAGCCGAGGTCAAAGCCCTTCCCCTGACTGTGCCCTTTTCTTCGTCCCAAAACGAGAGCAGCAACACGATCCTCCGAAGGCAGGAGCTAGGTTACAGGGTATCTCGAGGTGCTAGGAACCCAGTGTGCGGGTGGCTGGGATTTGGTGTGACTGCACTTCAGATGTTCCTCTGCGGGGCCTTGTGATGACACGGCAGTCACGTGTTGTCTCTGCTGCACGTTCACAGTCCGTGCATGGAGGACACGCATCCCTTAGGGGGGTGGGGGCAGCGAGAACAGGCAGCATGTGGTGCATGATGCGCTAACATACGTGTGGCATCAGGCACAGTAGGGGCGGTAGGCTCTGGGTTTGCAGGCTTTGTGTCCCTGTGGCCGCACACCACACATCGTGTGTGTGCGTCTGAGCTCCGCTTGTGCGTCCAAGGGCCTCCTCACGACCCCCGCTCGGATGTCAACACAGCTTTCTTGAAAACTCGACATGCCCAAATCAAGCTACTGTTCCCCCGACCCTGCTTCTTGCACCATCTTTCCCAGCTCCATAGATAGCAATCCTGTTTTCCCAGGTGTTTGGCCAAAAACCTTGCCGTCATCTTCAACTCTTTTTTAACTCTCACATCCTGCATTCAATGGGTATGTGAATCCTGTTGCTTCAAAATAAGTCTTAACCTGCAAAGCATGTCCAGTCTGCCTGCTTCAAATCATTCACACTGCAGCACGCTGGTCCCAGCCACCATCACCTCTTCTGCGTGACGCCAAAAACCTCTTAAATGGTTTCCCTGCTTCTTCCCTTGTCCCCTATAGTCTCCTCCCAGCACAGCAGCCAGAGGAAGCCTTTGGAAATGGAAGGCACAGCACATCCCTCCTCTACTCAAAGCCCTCCAAGCTTCCCCCTGACATGGGGTGACAGCCCTTATGATGGTCTAGAAGGCTCTGTGACAGCCCAGAGTCCCCTCGATGACTTCATCTCCTGTACTCCTTGCTCCAGCTACGCCGGCTTCCACGCTGTCATCGGAACACACCCTGCACGCTCCTGCTTTAGGGCCTTTGCACTTTCTGTTCCTTTGGCCTGAAATGTGGTTCCTGCTGATAGCTGCATGTCTCCTTCCTTCAACACCTCCAGGTCTTGACTCAAATGTTACCTTCTCACGGAGGTCATTCCCTGACCACTCTGTCTGAAACTGTACTCCTCTCTGCCCTTCTGGACTTCCCTCTCCCCTTCCCCGGGTTGTATGTCTCCTTAACCATGACCACCATCTGCCATGCTATTTCACTTATTTATCAGATTTCTTTTCTTTTTTTTTTTTTTTTAATCAGATTTCTTGTCTGTCCCATGCACCAGGATGTAAGTCCCAAAGAGCACGCAGGGATCTGTGTCTGCTTTGCTTACTGCCGAATCCCCAATGCCTAGAACGATGTATGGGTCCATGCATGTCATGCCCTCTCCGGGGAATGCCTGTGCTGTATGTGGTCTGTAGGGTCCAGCATGTGTCCATACATGGTGTGACTGTGTGTGCCGTGTCTGTGATATACCGGGTGGCTCTGGGCAGGGTCTGTGCAGGCGTTTGTGTGCAAGGTACACTTATAATCCAAGCAACGCATGTGCCCCCTGCTCCGTGTGTGTGTTTGTGTGTGTGTTTGTGTACCTGCGTACCCATCTGCTCCTCACAGAGGGGCGGCAGCCGGCTCTCTGCAACCCCATGGAGCTGTCCCCGTGCCCCCCACCTTGGGGTGCCCATACCGACAGCCTTGCAGTTCTTGGTCAGCGTGTCCATCTCGTAGCCGGGGTGGCACTCGCACTTGAAGTAGCCCTTGTAATTGACACAGATCTGGCTGCAGGCATCAGGGTCCTCACACTCGTCGATGTCTGCCGGCATGAGCATAGGTCAGAACCTGCAGGGTGCTCTGCCTCTGTCTGGGGGAGGGGCGGGGTGGGGAGGGTCTCACCGCCACAGGTCTTCTGGTCCAGCAGTTGGTAGCCTGCTGGGCACGTGCACTCAAAGCCGATCTTGAGGTCCGTGCAGATGTGGGAGCAGCCACCATTGTTGTGCAGACACTCGTTCAGCCCTGGGGAGGGACACAGTCTCCTGGGGGTTCAGGAGTCCTGGCTGGGGGGGTGGGGGCAGGACAGGGGTAGGGCCTAGAGCTGAAGCAGAGACTCCGGGCGGCAGGACCCCCACGGGGCCAGGATGCTCTCCAGCCGCACTGAGCCACAGCCTTGTTAACCCGGTGACTGCGCAGAGGAGGCTCAGAGAGGGGCAGGTCCTTGCTCCAGGCTGGACCCAAAGACAGGGACAGAGTGGAACTCAGGTCCTTTGCCTCCCAGGCCAGGGCTCTGTGTACCCGGAAGCCAGAGGCCCAACCAGAGGCAGTTAGGCCGCCTGAGGTCTCTCCTTTCACAAACACAGGTCTCACAGCTCCTCCTTCCTCGTGACCTCATTGTGCAGGGACCACCCCTCACCCTCAGGATACCTCGAGAACCCCTTCTGAAATGCCCTTGCTTAAACATCTCCAGCCTCAAGGAGCCCCTTCCCTCCCAGGGCAGCCTTCCTCACTGGACTGGCCTTCCTGAAGCTTTTGCTCCCACTCCAGCTCTACTGGCTGGGGCTGGCCAGTCTGATGGTTCCCTCTGAGTCTCCTTGAAGCGCTGATTTCTGATGCCCTGCTATCCAAGTGCCTTCCTCCGGACACATCCCATCTGTCCGTGTCCCGTCCTGCACAGGGCCCAGGGCTGGTTCACTGCCGCCCAGAGGGAGTCTGAACAACAGAGATTGACCCTACCGAGCTTGTGGTTATCTAAGACCCCAGGTTCTTTCTACACAGAGCTGCCGCTCTGGCAGTTCTCTCCTACCATGAAATATGATGGATTATTTCCACCTTCTCCCCTCTCAGCCCCTATCCCTCTTCCTATACTCAATCACAGGTCTGGTCCCATTGCTGCAGGGGCTGAAGGAAGCCAGAAGCTCATCAGGTCTCCCCACCCTCCGCTTCCTCGCCCCCTCTGGCAGAGTCCTAGGGGAGGTTAGGGAGGCCGGCACCAAAGCTCACCAGGTCCTCACAGCATCTTCTGAGCTTTGGGATCACAGGTTAATTCTGCAGGCCAAGAGAAGGTGCCCTGCCACCCTTCGACCCCCCCCAGGTTCATGCACCGCCACTGCAGCCAAGCCAAGCACAGCTGAGCCAAGCCAGTTGTGGCCATGCATGCAGCTGGTCTGAGTGGCCCGCCCCAGGCCATGCACAGCGGCGGGTGCCCACCTCCAGCCCAAGCCATGCGTACGGATGACTCCCCTTTACCCCTGGGCCGCCTCCTGTTTCCCCGGGATGTTGGTAGCACTGAAAGAACAAGATCACAGCAACCCCATGACTGGAGGGTCTGGGGGGTTGGGGGTACTCAGCCGAGTCCAGCCCTGGGAGAAGGCCCAGTCCCCTGGGGTGGGCTGAGCCACGGCAGCTTTGAGGGGCGCTCTGTGGGGCACCACATCCGGGAATCTTCGGTCACTCCACGCCTCCCCTGACTTCTCCCACACTGTATTATTCCCTCAGTGCCCGTCCATCCGTCTGCTCACCGCTGGCTCACTGCCTCATTCACGCACCCACTCGTGCCCCCTCCTTCTGTTCGCTGCCCCCCTCCTTCTGTAGGTAGCAGCAACTCCACAGCTATATTTACCAAACCCTTGACAGACTAGCATGTGTAGGATGGCTCTGAAAAGGGAAGAGGGAGAGCTCGAAGTGGCTCAGGTTTCTCTGATAGAGGAAAGCACAGAGTCCCTTCGGGGTGAGAGAATGAGTAGTGGGTCCTCGTTGACCGTGCATTGGAAGGCCAGGGCCAAAGCAGTGCCTGGAGGGGCTTCCCTGGGCCTTCCCAGTGCTATCCAGCCTGGATGTGATTCTGCTGGGTGCCTGCAGGGGAGGTGGGGGTGGTCCACAGGCTGCCATGGAAGGGAGGGGCAGAGTCACTGTCCCCAGCACATGCGTGTCCCTGCGTGCATGCTCCCACACACTGGTGGGCGCACAGACCCCACAGACAAATTCCCACGGATGCAGGGATGCACAGAGACACAAGATGCGTCCCCTTGCCTTACTCCAAGGAGGAGCCGTGGACACAGACACGGGGCTCTCCAGCACACAGAGACACAGATACATGCGTACATACTTCTCTTAGATGTGTCGTGCAAAAGACCAGAAAGAAGAGATTTAGTAGGTTAGCAGCCCCTGGCTAACTCCAGATTTGTGAGGGGTGAAGGGGTTGGTGGTGGTGGAGGCTGGGCTCCGTTGTTCCCATTTCCCTATTATCTTTTGCTTACATTCCTTCCTCTTGGACTTTTCCTGGCAGGGTGTCTAAGGGAGCAGGAGGGCCCAAGATGAGCACGTTCCCACCAGATTCGGTGCAGGCTAAGTGACCTGCAACCGACCACTCTGCCTTCCAAAACCAATTTTTAAATCTTCAACAGGGGTGGAAACATGCTGTTCCTGGAGAGTTCTAGAGAATGAAACTCCCTGGAATCTTCAGACTGGCAGCCGGGTCTGCCAGAAAGGTAGGGTTGGATATAGGCTCCGTCCTCCCAGGAATTCTCGGCCCAAAGCTCTGAGCTCAGGCATGAACCTTCCTGGAGCCCACAGTGGGTTTCTAGCATATTCTGTGGGCTGCTCGCCTCACCCACAGCCCAGACTCTCCTGTTCTTTTCAGCCTGGAACCCTCCCTCACAGCTCTAGCTCTAGGACAGCTGCCTCATCCCACCCCTTACTCATGCCCAGCCTGTAAGTCTTATCTCTCAGAAAGCCCAAGCTCCTTGGGGCTCAGGATGGTGTCATCTTCCTGTCACCTTCTGCTGCTGGGTCTGCCTTACCCTCACTCAGGCCTGGCCCGAGCCAGGTGGCTTTGGAATGTACCTCAGTTGGCTACTGTCTGCTGTCCCCTACCTCTCCCTCTCTTCCTGGATTCCTGCAGAGACTAGAAAGCCTCAGAGGCCAGGACCCTGGCTAGGTTAGCAAAGGTCTCAATGGGGAAGGAGAGAGGAGGAGAGGCCGAGTTTGTGAGAGGAAGCATAACTGAGCATCTGGGTTGGAAAGGAAAGGCAGCTTGATTTGTAGAGATGCAGAATGAGGCCCCAAGGCAGAGTCCTGCCAGAGGACAGTGCACAAGTCCAGAGAAAGAGGGTCAGAGCAAAACGTGTGCAGAGGGGCAGGTGTGAGCCTTGGCCTGGATGTCAGGAGGGGGCGTGGTGGGGCTGAGTCCAGCAGGCAGAAGGAGACAGGTACTGTACCACACTCTTTCAGAGGTTCATCCGACCAGTCCCGGCAGTCTCTCTGAGCGTCACACACTTTCCCGCCGTCCACGCACTCGCCACTCTTACACTGAAATCTGCGGGGACCCTCACATGTTGATTCTGTCGGGCCGGACAAGAGAGTGGACAGGGCCTGTGAGACCTTGGGCAGGGAGGGCTAGGCTGGTCTAGGTCCGTGGGAGGTGAGCCGAGCTCCAGCCCCAGTCCCCACGGGTCTCTAGAGGACCCAGGATAGACAGTGGGACATAGGGCTGGTGGGAGCTCTGCTCTCAGAAGGGCAGAACCCCAGAAATAAAGTCAGGATGCCCACGCATCATCTAGCTGGGCAAGGCTGGTTGGGGGGCGGGGGCTGTGCCTGATCTGACAGTTCTGGGCCCTGAGAGGAAAGTAGAAACACTAGAGAGACCCTGGGGACTGGACTGACCATCTGAGGGGGACCTGTGTCCTACAGGCCCTGCATAGGGGAGGCCGCCTCACTGCCCAACCCTTTATCCATTTTCCCAGATGACCTGCGGTCAGGGTCCTGGTTCCTACAGGTGGGGAGTGATGACCAGAGAGTCATCTGAGAATGAAGGGAGCTCCCTGGGTACAGAGGCTCTGCTTACGCTAGAAGAAAGCCACGGGGAGGCTTGGGCGTGGACAAATGGTGGGGGTGGACTTCCTGCAGTGCCTTCTCATGCCCTCCCCCAGGCCTCTTTGATCTTTTGCAAAGTCCTTTAAAATCCTGTTCTGGGGCCAGCAGGACATGCAGGGAGTAAATCTGGGTAATTTAGTGGCAAGTGATGCTCTGGGGGTAGACACATCTCAGGGACCAAGGGGAGAACTCTCTGAATTCTGCTGTCTCTGGAGTCGGGAGAGCTCAGGGCTCTTCTTTAGGGAGGGTGTCACCCCTTTGCCTCCAACCCCACGCACCCTGCAGGCAGCTGGTTTCATCACTCCCGTCCAGACAGTCCTGTTCCTGGTTGCAGCGCTTGATCGTAGGGACACAAGTCCCATCCCCACACTGGAACTCGTCGCCACGGCAGGTCCCCAGTGCTGCCAGGAGAAGGCAAAGCAGGAGGATTAGGGCCAATGTGGTATTGGAACAGCCCTCCTCCCACAGCCCCCAGCCCCAGCCCATATCCGTGCTTGGCAAAAACAGAACCAGGGGCTGAACTTGGGAGTCCTCAGAGGACACCTGGCCAAGGCACTTGCAGTATACAGATGGGGAGACTGAAGCTCAGAGAGGGGGAAGGCCTCACCCAGGATCACACAGCACTCTGGCTGGTAGAGCCAGGACTGAAACTCAGGTCTGCTGTTTTCCCATCCACCGCCTCTCCCCAGGGCCACCCACCCACAGCACACCGCTGCCTTCTTTTCAGCGTTGGTGCTCATTTCTTAATGACTTCATCCCTTCCCCAAACCCTTCCTGAGCACCCTCTGCATGCCAGGGACTAGGTGGGACACGGGGAACCCAGAGACTACTGAGAGGCTCCCCATCCTCTAGGAGCTCAAGGGGCAGGAGGGAGGCTGAGGAATGAACGGAAGACATTACAGTGTAGTCTGTGCTGTAGGAGAGGGTGGCTCCGGGTAGGGCGGGGGAACCCAGCCCAGCTGGGAGGGTTGAGACCTTGAAAGACAAGCAGGCCTGGCAGGTGGGGCGGGGGTGCAGGGGCAGGTCCTGAGAGTACCAAGGTCTGGGGCACTGGAGCCAGTGGGTGAATGCCTGAAATGGGGGAAGGGGAGGGGGTGGAAGGCAGGACAGGGAAAGCAGGACCAGGGAAGACCCTGGGCCTCTGAGGTCATCCCTGAGCTGGGCAATTTAGGATCCTGGGGGCCTCCAACCTAGGGACTCCACCTTCCTCAAGTGCGTGCCCACCGTAACCCAGGTAACCCGGGTGGGCAGGACAGGTGCGTCCTGGCAGCCGGTGCCTCAGGCCGGCCAGGGGAGAACAGTGGGGCCACGCGGTACGGGGGTGGGGGCGGAGGCTTACGGCAGTCGGCCTCGTCCGACTTGTCCTTGCAGTCGCGGTCGCCGTCGCAGCGCCAACCCAGGTGCACGCACTCGCCGCTGCGGCAGGCGAACTGGGAGGCCGCGGCGCAGGCGGCAGGAGCGGCGGTGGCCCCGGGGCCCGCGCGGCCGCACAGCTCGGCCGCCTCGTCCGAGCGGTCCTCGCAGTCGAACTGGCGGTCGCAGACCCAGCGCTCAGGGATGCAGGCGCCGCCGCCGCCGCTGCAGCGGAACTCGCGGGGCCCGCAGGCCGGGTCGGCGCAGCCGCGCTCGTCGCTGCCGTCGCCGCAGTCGTCGTCGCCGTCGCACACGAACACTGCGGCCAAGCAGGTGCGGTTGCTGCACTGGAACTCGTGCGGGGCGCACACTGCGCGGGACAGAGAGCCGGTTGGCCCTGCTGCTGCTGCTGCTGCTGCTGCGGGGGGGGGGGTCCCTGACTCTCGCCCACCGGCTGCGGGCGTCCTGCGCGGGGAGGGGCGCCCGATAGCACAGGGGGCTTCCGATCCGGGGCCATGCAGGGGGACTCAGGGCACCGCGCCTGCCCCCCCTGAGCCTCGCAGCCTCACTGGGAGTGAGAATTCCGGTCCCCGCGCCGCCAGCACTGGGGTGGGGCTGGGAGTGCTCCTGCCACGGGGTGCTGCCTGTCTCCAAGGGCCTTGTGATGTTCCCAGGAAATGAAACCGAATGTGACCCTGACCCATCCCAAGGAACAAGATCTGGAGCTGTTTCCTGATGTCACGACTCAGCCGCCTCCCCATCCCCATGTGCCCACACCAGCCAGGCTCAGTCCCCTGGCCTGGCATCCAAGCCACTGGCACAGAGCCACTGCTCCACCCAAGCGCCTGGTGCCCTGGTGTCTGCCATACTGGACCACTGGCCCACCTCTTCACCTCCAGGCCTTCACCCAAGCTCTCCCCTCTGCTGGGTGCTCTCCTCCTGCCCAACACTGTCTCCGTATTTCAGTGACCAGTTCTCATCCTTCAGGGGCCCAAAGCCCACCTCTTTCATAACACACTTATGCTCTCCTACTTGGCAAGCCTCCCTCTACCTCTGTTCTGCGTGCCCTTCACAGCACATTCAAGCATCTGGGTTCACATCGTTCTGTCTCCCTCACAACTACTGCACGGGGACCAGCTCCAAGACTGACCCAGCTTGGTCTGGAGGGCCTGGCACAGAGCTCCCTGTGGGGGGCGGGTGTGAAGTGGATGGATGCCAGACAGGCAGGATGTGAGGAGTAAGTAGGGATGGGCAGTAGGTAAGGACACAGGTCGCTGGCCCTGCCTGGGACCCTGGGCTTCCTCTCTCTAGTGAGCTGCTCAGCTCAGAGGCTGGGAGGGCTTTGGAGACCACCAGCCCAACTGCTAGTTTATAGATGGGAAAACTGAGGCCCAGAGAGGAGCAGTTTGTCCAGGGTCACACATAACCAGAACCCTGGTTTGGGGCTCTTCCCTCCTACTCTGACCCCTCTCAGCTTTCTGGTTTGCTCCCCCTTTCCTGGAGGGTAGGCAGGAAGGGTTTTCAGAGCAGTGACCTCCTCATCTCCCTGCTTTGTTCCTCACACAGAGGATGGCTGGGGGATGGGGGGTGTGGTTGGGAAGGGGGCTGCAGCCTTGGGTAGGGACCCCATGGCGGCAGCACCGGATCTTTCCACGTGGGGGCGCCAAGAGTCTGTTTTTATTTGCTGATAGAAATATGTCATTCTTCATGGTTATTGGACATAAAATAGAATGAGGTCTTCAGCTTCGCAATGTAGGCAGCTCGTCATGTGTTGCTGACAGCTCTATCAAGTTTCTGACAGCTGCATTTTTCCCCCCTTCTGGGCTTTTGGGATGTTGGGGCACTGGTGGGGAAAGCACACACTGCCTTGTGGTGTCTGCCCCCAAGATTACGCAGATGCCCATATTAGCTCCCCTCTTTCCTGCCAGACTCGGCTTGCACGTGTCTGGGGGGAAGGGCTCACTAAGTCGCTTCCTTATACTGAGCTCTCCCTGAGGTCTGAAAGTTAACAACGGCTTCAAGAGCCCTATTCTCAGACCTGCATCCAGAGAGTCCACTCCCAGCTCTCACAAATGGAAGCAGCTCTGGGTCAGGGAGAGAAGGAAGAATTCTTTCTCCTCTGCCTGGGTGGTTGGGATCTGTAGCAGAGGTGTCCAGTAAGACCTTCAAACCACCCTCCCATCACCCGTAATTAACGAGGATCATGCCTGCCATCACATGGCCTAGTTAGAGATACTCCTGCCCGTGCAATAGCGGCTGATGGCCCTTAGAGATGAGGAAACATCTGATTATGGGGAGTGGGGGTAAGGAGGGAAGAGGATTCTCATTGGCCAGTGAAGCCCCGCAAAATTATCACAGCTGAGGAGACAAGCCAGTGCCATCGCTAGGGCTTTGGAACTGCTGGCTGAAGCCAGGATCTCCCCCATACCCAGATGCTTCCTGCTTCAGACACATCAGAACTCCAGACTTGGAATCTAGAGTGCTGTGTGACTCAGAAACCTCCAGAGAGATGGCATTTCCCCTGGGCCAGGGAGGATGGGTAGGATGTAAATATAAAGGCTGGGAGAGGGAGGGGGGTGCAAGGCAGCAGTGGTTGAGTTCCTGGCAAAAGCCCCTATCATACCCCAAACCACCCACATCTCAGCCCAGCCTTGCAGCTTAGTTATCGGCAGCCAATCTGTCTCCCCTATTAATCACGGGCTCCCGGAGGAAGAAGGGTGTAGGATTCACCTCATCATCCCTTCCAGAGCCTGGCTCCAGGCCTGGCACACAGTAGGTGTCCATCCAATTGAAACAAGCATAGCCCCACTGGCCCAGGACCCGCTGGCCTGCTCCCTGGGAAGGAGATAATCCTGTGTTTGAAGCTCAGTGATGTGGAACTGCCCCGGTGACCACTTCCATCTGTTCCTGCTGAGGCTGCTGGGGATGTCTTCCCGCCCTGTGACATTCGTGCTGGAGTCTGAGATTTCAACATCAGACGCCCTTCACACTTCAGGAGTCTGCCCCTCCCCCCCCAGCCCCACCAGTACCCCCCACACCTGAGCCGTCGCCCCCTGCCCTGGCTCAGAGGTCGGTAGAGACGGATGGAATGGATGAGCAGATGTCAGATATGGTAATAATACTCCTGGGCTTGGCTGTCCATAGCCGGATTTGAATCTCGGTTCCACCACTCAGCCTTGGGTGCTGCTTTTCCTTGCTTGTCTGAGCCTCAGTTTCCTCACCCATAAAATGGGGATGACAATGGCTGCTCGTGCGGTGGTTGTGAGGATGAAAGCAGGAAACGTCTTTCTAGAGCGCCTGGCCATTACTAGTGTCCTGATCATTACTCTTTGCTGTCCACCCACCAAGCCGGGAGAGAAAGCCCCTCCCCAAAGTGGCTGCGGCTCCCCGAGGCTGCCCAGCCACCTTGCAGGCCCTGGGACCTAACCCGACTCACAGGTGGCACAGCCGGCCTCATCCGCTCCGCTTTCGCAGTCCTTCTCCCCGTCGCAGCGCCACGAGGCAGGCACACACTTGTGGCTGGCGGGTCCACAGCTCAGCTTCTCTGCAGGACACACCTGCTTGGCTGTGGAGACAGACACACGCACATGGCTTAGCCAAGGGGGGACACGGGGCATTGCGCCAACCAGTCCTCCTGCCTGCCTCAAGCCGCCTGGCCCAAGGCCCTGGGAATCCGTCAGGCCTCCCTGCCCAGGGTCCCAGTTTCTTCATCTGAGAAGCAGCTACTGTCTAGCCCTAAGGCCCTTGGAATCCTACATTGATCCCACCACTCCCTAACGCCCTTGTACGGGCCCCTGGCCCCTGGCAGGCAAGTCCCTCCTCCATCCAGCCTACTCCTGTCTGCCTTACGGGCCCCACCTCCCACCCTCCAAACATCCCCTTTGAGCTCCAGCAACATGAAACTGCCATGCTCCGCATGCTTCTCTGCCATTTTCCCGCCATGTGCCTCGGGTGGAACATGCCCCAGTTGGGCCTCGGTTCGGCTTCCACATCAGTGCCTCAGTGATCCGAACCGTGGATTTGGAGGCCTTGCCAAGGCCCCAAGAGCAGCCTCGGTATGCCCCGCCCCCCTCCCCCTCCCTCAGCAACAGTGCTGGCTGTCGAGAGCAGTGCTGTGCCTGCAGCAGGGCCCAGCGGGACCACACAGCTATAATTACTCCAGCAGCAATCAGAGGCTGACTCAATCAGGGGCATGGAGCCCCAGGGCTGATTCTCAATTTGGAAGAAAGAATGAGAACCCTGATCAGGGCTGGGGATGGCTCTCATCCTGAGAGTCCCAGGATGACCCACGTGACAGACCCAGCTGTGGAAGGCACGGTGTAGACCTCTGCAGCTGGCTCCCTGCTACCTGCCAGGGTGTAACTCAGTCGTCGCCCAGAAGTGCCAGGCCCGGAGCGAGAGGCTCACTTAATCCATACAACAGCCCCTGGCAGGATGAGGATAATGTCGAGGCCTCCATCTTGGAGATCGAGAGGGCAGGGGCTCTGGAACCTGGCTTCCTGGGCATCAGTTAGGTCACTCACTGGCTATGTGACCTCAGTCAACAGCCCTCACCTCGGTGCCAACAGAGTGGCAATGATACTATTCCCTAGCACGTGGGATTGTTGGGAGTCCCGAGAGAATGTCTGTAAGGCACTTAGAACGCCCAGCCCAGGGCTTGCTAAGGGTTAGCCACTATAATTCCCCAAATGAACAGACGAAGACTTGTTTGTCCATTCAGTGAGTTTCTGCCGAGTGCGGCCGTGTACAAGCCCTCGTGGTAAGCACGGGGTCCACTCACACAGCTGCTAAGACTGAGTGAGGGTTCTAAGTCAGCTGTGTCTGACGCCTCACACTTGGCATAGTCTGTTGCACCTGCTGGTGGGGGGGTCACTCGTGTCTCCCCCTCAACTCGGACCAGTTTCCCCTTTGCTGACTTTCACAGCTGGGATGACAGGGCACCAGAGATGGAGAAAAGGCTAAGTCGGGGGAGGGGGCGGGCATTGGAGGCAGGGCCCTCAGACACTACTATGCGAAGGGAGAGGTGTACCTGGCTCCCCAGACTTCTCCCTAGGAATACATTATGTGAAATATGAGACACTTCACCAAGAATACAGGATTCATGGGATTCATTTTCTAGAAATTCCCCTTCACAAATAACTGGTGCGTAGGGCCCTAGAGAGTGCAGACACACAAAGATCTTTTACAAAAGCTGCCTTGGGGCCATAGTGCAGGGTGGTAAAGGAGGTCTGGCAGCTGGGAGGTGGGGCCCTTCCAGAGCCCCTCCATCACCCGCACACCGCAGGACCCCTGGAAGCACAGGAGGGAGCTGAAGCCGGCCAGTGTTGCCCAGACTCCTGACTGCAGGGTGGGCCGTGGGGGCTGCCGGAAGTGCAGGTTCCTGGGCCCAGCTAATAGCAGACGGAATCCAGACTCTGAGGGCAGAGCCCAGGAATCTGCATTTCAGTAACTCCCCTCTGCCCCGGGAGATTCCCATGCACCCCCTCTGAGAATCACTGGGTTAACATTCTGCAAGTCTAAAAGATACAGAATATTTCGTCTCCTTTAAATTCATTCCCATATAAGCAACAGAGACTTCCTGCATGCCTGCAAGCTCCTGAGAGCAATGAGACAGAAGGACAAGGTGACCATCTCCCCCTGAGCCAGGCCACAGGAAACAGAACTTTGCAGCAGAGTTGGAAGGAAGCCATGTTTGCTGAGCACCCACGCTGTCAGGCGAGTCCATTTCCCATGCGGCCCACTACCTCCCAGGTGAGCAGACCCTTCAGGCTATGTGTGCCAACTCCAGGGGTGCCCTTCAGGTAAGCACTCCATTTGACAGAGGAGGAAACAGGCTCAGAGAGACCAAGGAACTGGTCCAAAGATGCACAGCAGGTGAGAGGCAGAGTCCAGGTTCCTCTGACTGTGGTGCTCTTTCCATCAAGCCCGGCATGCTCCTGTGGGTAGAGGAGTAGCCTGAACCAGCCCCAAACTCTACACCCAAACACCCAGGTGACTGAAATGGCCCTTGACCGTCCTCCCCACCTCTCGGGGCCTGCTTCTGCGGACCCCAGTGCAGCAGGCAGCCGCTTGAACTTTTAATGAATATTTATATAGTTAATTGCATAACCTTTCAGCAAGGACAATGATTAAACAATCCGTCTGCTTCCTTTCTTTATAATTAATAAGACATTTGCGGTGTCCTTAAATAGACAGCTCTAATTACAGGCTCTGGAGGATTCCGCAATGCCTGACAGCAGCCCCTCCTACCCTCACAGAGCCAAGGCACTGTCCTGGAAGGCCAGGACACAGAGGTCACATCGAGGAGTCCCCACTAAAGTGATAGGAGACAGAGGCCCAAAGAGGGGAAGGGACTGCCCAGGCTACTGGATGCCAAGTGTTCCAACCTCCTCTCTCTCCTAGAACCTGACCGTCTCTGTTGTCATACAGCTCTTCCCTGAAGCTAGGATAGGAACCTCACTCTGCAGTCTGTGGGGTCAGGCCTTCTCACTGCCTACCTCTGGAAAGCTGGCCTGGGTAAGTGCGGATATGCTGTGTCTCCTCATGAGGGTGGGGAGAGCCATGACTACCTCCATTTTACAGATGAGGCCAGCCAAGCCCAGAGAGGGTAAGGTGTTTGCTGAAAGTCCTGTGGAGAGAGGCCAAGCTGGACTTCCAGCCTAGATCTCTGATGTCTAAACGCACTGCTTAACTTACCACATGTAACCACTGCCCATGAGAAAAGCAGGCCCTGTTGGTGCTCCCAGGACCTCTGGGCTGGAGAGGGGTCACCAAAGGAAGGAGGCTCACTGGGCCTCTACTCAAGTAGGGTCTGCAACACGGCCGCCTAATGTCCACATTCAGGACAACTGAAGCCGAAGTCCCCTCAGGCAGCGTGATGCAGGAGAAAGAGCATTCGTGAGTTCTGGAGTTGGGCACACCCGGGCCTGCGCCCAGCTACTAGCACGCAGGTTCCTCAGCCAGTCACTTAATCTCTCTGCACCAGGGCTCCCTCTGAGAATGGGGCTACAGAACCTCCAGAACCTCCTCTAGGAGGTTTAAATGAGGAGACATGGAAAGCTCAACACGCGGGGCCTGGAACAAACTCAGAAACCAGTTGCCCCTGTTTCATCTCATGAAATGCAAATGCAAGGGGCTGGAAGGGGCCTGGCCTTGGCCCCGGGGGGTGCACATGACCACAGTTCACAGCTCCCCGCCGCCCCCCCCGCCCGCCATGGAGCCTTTCTCTGAGACAGACGCCCCGAGGAATGCCCTGGCCTGCTGTCAAGTGTCCCCAAGGTTCTGAGAGGCAGGCGTGAAGAACACCACGGTCTCTCAGACTCCGGGAATCCTCCAGGGTTGGTCGGCGAGGGTCTGGAACAGCAATGCCAGAGTGGCTGGAGACGTTACCCGTTCCCGGAGAATCCTGCCCCAGAAATCCAGTCCACCGGCGTTCTCTAATTTATGAGTTCACAAATTAATAAAAAGAGAAATGTCTGTCGAGTAAAAGAATTGAAGTGTCTGCAGGCTGCTTAGGGAGTGGGCTCGTCTGCAGGGACGGGACATGCAAGGCTGAAGGGCAGACGACCTCCAGATGGGGACGGCCAGCTCCAGGAGGACCAGGGACCCAGGCGGTGGGGCTCCCAGTGTCCAGCTGCTGTCCAGGAAGCATGGCATGGGGCCACCTCATCATGCGAGTAGTGAGGGAGTGTGCAGTCACACACAGCTCCTTCCTGCGGGCTCGGGCAAAGTACTCCTAGCTGGTAAGCCTCTAACTTGCCTCTGGGCCTCAGAAAACCTCTGGGCCTCCACTTGGTTCATCAGTAAGGTCCCCTTTCCAGTGGAAAGGCTCAGAGATGATGAATAAATTCCCATTGCCAATAAACAGTGCCCAAAGTTGCCACTCACTCACCTTGAACCAACCTCCCCTCCCCTATGCCGTACCCCTCCCATCGGATGCCTGAAGGTGGGTCAGAAGCCGTCCCCAATCAAGAGAGCTATAATTAGACCTGAAATGCCACTTTCATTAGGCAAATGTCTCAGGCTTTCCTACTGTGACTCCTGGCTGTATCTGAGAGACACGAATCCCAGAACCAGAAGGAAACTAAGCCTGGAGAAACCCCAGCTAGCTAGGGGCAGACGACACAGTGGGGGAGCACAAAAATGGGAACATCCTCCCAGACCCCTTGCCCTCTCCATGCAGACCCCCTCCCTTATTCTAAAATTTTAAATTGCTGTATGTGGAAGAGAGGGCCTGGGATCAAAATACAGCAATGAGAGTAACACTGCCAGTTACTTGTGCCCTGACAGTTTGCCACATTTTTTCCATTTCATCCCTGTAACCCCCGCAAGGCAGGTGCCATCACTCCGTTTTACAGATGAGCAAACAGAGGCTCAGGGAGACTGGGCAAACTGCCTGAGGTCTCATGGGACCTGGACCCAAATAGATCACATACCCACCAATCCCACTACACTTTACTGCTTCCTGTAATCTTCGAGCTGGCAGAGGACCTAGGAACCTGGTAGGCTATACAGGTGAACTTGGTAGACTATGGGGGTTGCTATGGCAACCCTATTAAATGGGCAGTGGGTTGGCTAGGTTCCCCATTTGGTGGGGAAGCAGTGAGCTGGCCTGTTGCCAGGTCCTGCTGCCCCAAATTTTGCCAGACCCTTGAGGTCCCATTCTGACCCACCTACTCCAGGCAGTCCCCTGCGCCCCACAGGCCTTGCCCACCTCTGACCAGTGTAACTTTGCACAAAAAGTTACCACATGTAACATGTAAAGTGGGATCCTGGGCCTTATGCCCTAGCTGGAAGAAAGAAGGTCCTAAGTGTCCAGGAACTCTGAGATGTTAGAAACTGGTGTCCAGAGACAGACGGGAAAGTGTGCAGGATCTCACAGCAAACTCACTGGGAGAGCCCAGGGGAGGGCTGGGTTTTCTGACTCCCAGGGTGCCATCTTGACTCCTATTCCCACAGGCATTCCGTCAAGCCTCAGAGAGAGCCTGATGAGCCTGCCTTTTATCACAGAAGGCCAATCAGCCACAAACAAACTGTGTGTCTTGTAATCAAGGCCCTTGACTTCTCCAGTAACTCAACTGTCAAATAACAGTGCCTTACAGTGGGTACAAAGCAGTCCTGGGAGGTAGGAGGGGTGAGGCTGGAGGGCCCTGCACAGCCAGAGGATGGGAAGGCAGCAACTGCTAGGAAAAACAAGAGGGAGAAAGACAGAGGGAAATATGGGGCATGGCATGGAGAAGAGGGATGGTAAGAGGGAGGCTGGGCAGGGGCACAGGCAGGGGGTGGCCATCCAAGAGAGGAGGGTGGGCAGAGCCCTGGAGTTGGAGCCAGAAAGATGAAAAGGGACATCAACAGAGAGAGACAGAGATACAGGGAGAAGGGGGAGCCCAGCTCTTAGGCAGTAGGACATACCCCAGTAATAACTGTGCTGAGGCTCCCCTTGTTCCCCTGCTGCCCCCAGTGTCCAGGGGGAGGGCTAGAGTGGGGCTGGGACAGCCCAGCGGGCTGACTGCAGGTCTCCCTGATCGGCTCCCTATGGCTACAGCCCCCTCCCCGAACACCCACTCCTGGCTGTCCACAGCTCTGCCCCTCCTTAGCTGGGCAGCCTTGGGCAAGTGGCCAAACCCATCCTGGCCTCAGTTTCCTTCTCGTTAAACAGAGATCCAAGCTGGCCCTGAGGATGAGAATCCTAGTGGGCGTGGCTGGGCTTTGTGCCTTCTGCAGCTCAGGACAAAGCTCTGGACCGCCCCTGGGACAGGTTGGCTGCCTGTGGCTAAGAAAAGGACAGGGCCTGTGGCCTGGCCAGGGGAGGCAGAGGCAGCTGTGCAAGGAGACAAGGGGGCCTCCTGTCTGGGGCCGGGGTCACTCCTGCTCTCCCTTTCTCTCCCCCTTTCTCTCTTTCATGGGGAGACTGGTGGCTCTGTTGCTAGGAAACGAAGAAACCCAGTTATCACCAGCCACAGTCCTAGATGGGCTATGGGCCTCCATTGTCCCCGCCTCTGCCTCTGGGCTGAGTGTGACCCCTAATGAGGAGGACCAGGAGGATGGTGATTGTGACTTATGGGTCCTCAGCAGCCCTCTCAGTCTCACTCAGCTGAGGCTCTGTCTCGGGACCTGCTGGGGCCTTCTCCGCCCCTTTCTCATCTCCTTTTTAATTTAACAAATGTCACGGAATGACCCGCTGGGTGTAAGTTTGCTTTGAGGATTAGGGCCTAGAAAAGAAATCAAGGAGAGACAAAGCCCAGAGTGTAGGAGGCGGGCCTGGGGCTCTGGCTCGGGCCCTGGGCCTCACCCCTGGCTGCCTCTGCTACCATCCAGCCTGCCATGGATGCCGGGGCTCCTGGGCTTAACTGGCTCAGGGCAGGGGAAAGAGCTGGGGCCTCAGAGTCCTGGCTGGGTGGTCTTGGGCATGTCACTCTGTCTCTCTGAGCCTCAGTGTCCTCCTTTGCAAAATTCAGAAAATGACAGGACCTGCCTCATGAGGCTGCCGTAGGAAGATGAATTAGTGAGTGCGAAGAGCCTAGAATTCTGTCTGGCCCAGAGCAAGCACTTAATAGGCACCCACTGTTAGCAGCACTACTAGAATTCTGATCAGAGTCCTCCAGAAAAATAGCTGGGGAGGCTGCAGGGAGACCCAGAGGATATGCTCTGGCTGCTTCTGGGCAGAAGGGCTGTTTCTGGTTCCTGGTGCTCCAGGAGCAGGGCCCGAGCTGCAAGAGGCCTGTGAGGAAGTCAGCAGAAACCAGGACTGGATATGCCTGGCCGTGCCCTGGGAGCTCCTGACAGTCTGGCACAAGGTGGGTCTGGAGCTGTGTCTGACAGATCACAACCCCCCGGGCTTCCCAACCTCCCAAGAAGGATCTGATGAAGAAGCTGAACACCCCCCATCCTGGCCCGGCCCTAGCTTCAGACTCACTGCATGTGGTCTCGGACTCATCAGAGCCGTCAGGACACTCCTCCTCGCCGTCACACTTCCACCGCTCTGGGATGCAGTGGCCGTTGCCACAGGTGAAGTCGCTGTCCGCACATGTCTTCTTGGCTGTGGGGCAAGGAGAAGAGCATGAGGGGGCCTGGCGGGCCAAGGAGGCTTTTCTAGGCTATGGTCAGGTGGCACTGGGGTGACCAAGATGCACACTGTTGGAAAGCAGGACTATGGGACCCCCCACTACTCCCATTGGGCCACAGAGGAAGAGGACAGGAGAGATGTGCTTATTCCTTCTTCTGCTGAGCACTGTTGGAGACAGGTGACTCCTGACCCTGCCTCCAAGTTCAGGAGCTCAGGCCCAACAAGGGTACCAGGAACCATGCTCCAAGGGAATGCCTGTTCTCCTGTCTTACTCCTTTTCCCCCAAAGTCCAGTTCCATGGCCACCGCCCCCGGGAAGCCTTCCCTGATCTCCTACGGCAGTTACTTTAGCCCCTTTGGCCAGTTCTCAGTCCCTTTACTGGCCTGTCCTGCTCCCCAACACCAGGCCTTTCTGGAAGCATCAGGGAGCTGTTGCTAACGAATCCTAAAAGCCAACAATTACTCTGAGACAAGATTAATGAGGTAAATTCTGTTTGGAGTGATGAAAAGAGTGTCTGCTGGGTGAGACACCCAATCAGTCTCTGGAGAGAAAGTGCTCTCGAGGCACTTACAGCCTGGAAGGGAGGCTCCTCGGGGGGCTCTGAATCCCAGCTCTGCCTCTTTCGGTCTGTGTGACCTTGCGGGTGCTACTTAACCACCAAGCCTCTGTTTTCTTATCTATATGATGGGAAGAAGAAAACAAGGGCTCTGAGGGGGACTAACAAGTTACAATGTACAAAGAACATGGACAGAGGACCTGGCCCTGAAGCCGAAGACCAGTCAGCAACAGCTACTGCTGTTTGGATGGTTTGAGCCTTAGCCAGAAGCAAACACCTTAGCACATGTGTTCTGTGCCCTCACAGGGGACATATGTAGCAGACTGAGATCTCACAGCTGGTAACAAAACTGGGGGTGATAAGGCAGAGGCGACATGGTTTGCTTTTCTCCCAGTCCCACCACTGGCCTGAGGCTTCTCTGGGGTAGGAACACTGTCAGATTCAGCACAGGCTCAACTCAGGGTGGATTTCCGTGGGGACACTGGACCGAAAGGGGGCGTGGCTGGCCAGCCTCTGCTCCCACACCTCTAGGGCTGGGCTCAGCTTCTCCCAGGGAAGCCTTGGATTATGTAACTCCTCCCACGGGCCCTCTGGCTGCCTTCAGGGCCATGTAACTACTCCCTCTGGCTTGAACAGCCTGGTTGGGATATGGGGACAGACACTGGGTCTCCTGAATCCAATCTATTTTTGCCTTTTAGTGGAATCCTTGCAGGACATCTGCATTCTAAGAGGAGTTCTCTTCATGTTTTCTTTAGAAGAATACACCTCTGTCTATGCAGGGCTAGAAGAAAAGAGAGGAATCCATCTAGCTACACAGTTGGTGGTGGTGGTGGGGGGTGGTTCTGAGGCCCAGAGAGGGAAAGGGGTTAGCCCAGGGAAACACAGCTAGGCGGAGATCAGAACCACTTCTCCTGCCTCCCAACCCAGGCCCCCCAGCAGCCCTCCCTGAGCTCAGCATGAGCAGCTGGTGTGGGTAACAGGTACCAATAGCACCTTTTGGTAAATCACCGCCTCTAATCCTCTGGAAGTAAGCATAGTTACAAACCACAGCATCTGGGGCATCTTCTGACACAAGGACCAGAGCATTCCTTCCACGAGAAGCCCCGCGTCCACAGAAAAGAGGAAGTGTATATCCCAATGTCTTCTTTACCCTGTTTTAACTTCCTCCAAGCACATTCTGTGTGCCAGTCTCCATGCTAGGCATTTTACCAGAAAACCCCACGACAAAGGGCCATGCACGTCCCAACTTGACAAACAAGGAAATTCCAGCCCAGAAGTGTTAAGTACATGCCCAAGGTCACACATGGGTGGGAGCAGGTCAACGAATTGACTTCACAGTCAGATCCCCTGCCACCCCACCAAGGCTCCCCAAATAATACACTCAGCAGCCTCAGACACAGAAGAAGAGAAAAATTCAACAAGCCTGCATCTGTGCCAGGCTATGCACGGAGCACACGGAGATCAGCCCAACCTGCCCCCCAGGGACTCGCGGTGAGTGAAGAACAGAAAGAACCACAAAGAGCCAGGCCAGCTTGATGAGGAAGGTGATCAGGGGGCTCTGTCACTAGTCTTGGCCAGCCAGACACTATTGAAAGAGCCCTTCCTCCCTGGCATTCTGGGAGCCTGGGAGTGAGCTTGGCCTCCTGCAGCATGTCAAGCCCTGCACCTGTGCGCACCAGGCAAGGAGGCCGGGGCAGCCAAAAGCACCATTGCGGTCTTGAAGGGCAGCCTCCAGGCCATCCAGCTCAGGAAGTGGCAGCCTCAGGGATGGATGTCTCATGGAAGTGTTCTGGAGGAAACGTCTGTTCATGGTCATGAGCGGGTTTGGACATGTTCCATCCTGGCTCTGGCCAGGTGAAAACCCGATATTCCAGTGACTCCTCACATCCATCCTGGCAGTGCTGTGAAGCCCATCTTATTACGGAAGAGGAATCGGGGGTGGTAGGTGGCAGAAGCAGGATTTTAATTCCATGTGGCAGCTGCTAAAGTTTGGGTTCTTTCCACGGAGGCCCTCAGCCACTTCCGTATTATTAGGCTAAGAGGACCCCAGAAAAGTAAATGCAGTGTGTGACCAGCGAAACACCTCGCAGGTCCCCAGGGCCACGGGACCAGGCAATGGGGCAGATCAGCCACATTGTTCAGAAGGACCACATCAAGTATTCCCCTGGAATGTGCCCGGACAGCGTGCTAGAATAAACACGGGCCTGTCATTTGTGTCTGCTAATGGACCACTCTGGGGAAACCGAGGCAGCACGCTCACTTTCAGGTTGGGCACCAGACTCAATCACCTTAATGGGCCATGTCTGAGAGTATAACCCCATGGAAAGATCTGGAAGAGGTGAGACTGAATCCTGGCACAGTCGCCTCCTCTCTGGGTGACTTCGGGCAAGTTCCTTCCCTCTCTGGGCAAGTGGTGATGCTGGCTTCCCGTGCAGTGCCGGTACAAGGACAAAAGGCAAAAGGGCTCTCACAAGGGATCCCGTGGGCACCCCCGTGTTGGGTTGGTCAGTGTAATGAGCCCACCAAGGCAGAGAGCCAAGCAGTCTTTCAACCCCATCAGAGCCAGCCATGCCAGACCCCATTCCTGGCCTTGGCTCTAACTCCCAGGCAATTCCCTAGCTGAGCTTGAGGCCGTGGCCCCCGTTTCCAGGGATTTATCTCCTTCCATGCCTGTCTGCCCCTTGGACAATGCCCACCTCTGTGAGCCCCTGGACCCCATAGCCCAAGAGCTGGGCATAGTTATCCAGGGTCTGCAACATCATAATCTGCTACCACGGCAACAGATGGGCCATCACGGAGGATTTGGGATTCCAGAGAGTGGTGGGGAGGAGCCCACACCCAGGGCAGAGTTGGGGAGAATGGGAAGTCCGGGACAAAGGAGGTAGGTGTTGCCACTTATAACAAGAACACAGACAGAGGAAAGCCTCCAACACTCGTGGGCAGTCAAACTCTGCTCTGCTATATATGGGCTGTATGACCTTTTGCAAGTTACACAACTTCTCTGAGCCTCACTTTCTTTACCTACCTTCAGAGGTCATATCGCTGCTTCGCCAAACACACAAGGTTGTGGGCAGCACATGGGCTAAGGATGGTGTCAGGGCTTTATAAACTGGAAAGCATAAAGGTGCAAGTTTGTGGCATGGGAAGTCAGCAGCCCTAGCTGCTGTGCGTGTGACCTTGGGCCCACCTGTCACATAGGGCCTAGCTCCTCATCAGGAGATGGAGGTGTGGTGCCCATTGAATCTTAAGTCCCGCTCAACACTCAAGAGTCTATGATCTTGGGAGATTATTATGATTGCTCAGCACCTCCCAGCTTCTCCACCGCCCCCGCCAGGCCCCCTTCCTGAGACAATATGCGTCCTTCACACTGCTGTTTCCCCATCCCACCCACGCTCAGCCTGCAGCCCTGGTGCAGACGGAAGGGTTCGAAACAAAGATCAGTCGGGCTGCCAGGTGGAGCTGCCTGGTGTGGAGTCCTCTTGGCAACCAGATCTCTGTCACGTCACAGCCCAGGGGCTTGACGGTCCCTGGGCAGCTCTCCCACTCTGTCAGCCAGAGGACCAGGGGCCAGAGAGAACAGCACATGTCTGCGGGAGGGCTGCCGCTGTGCTCTGATATTCTGAGGCTCAGTCCCACTGTGCGGCCAGGAAGCCAGGAGAGGGTCACCTGGCCCAGCCCAGGAATCAAGGAAGGCTTCCTGAAGGAGGGGACCGTGTTCAGGGAAAAGGTGTCAGCCAGACCGTGGGAGTGACGAAGGCACAAGCGACAAAGGCATTCCAGGAAGTGGGATAACAGGGCCTGGGGTTGTGGAGGCAGGATGGCAATTTGGGGCTGGTAAGGAGGCAAGTGGCAAGGGACCTAGGAGCTCCTCTAGGCTGGCAGCCACCTGACCTTGCCTGGCACCAAGCTGCCCCTCAGAGGCCCCCTTTCCCTGAGCTCAGCCAGCTTCTGCTAAGTACAGGGGCTGCTGCTTAGCAGCCTACAAAACCCATGTCTTTAAGCTGCCTGGGCTTCCTTTAGGATTTGGTGAGACTGTGTGAGACGGATGATTGACCCCTAGCAGAGAAGAGAGAGGCAAATGGTGGGACAGAGAGCAGGGCTAGCCATCCACCCAGAGGTCTCAGAGAAGACTTGCTATTTTCCTCCTTTGTAGATTCATGATGCCTGCCAGCTTACAAAAGGTCCGAGAAGGCCTGCAGATATCAGATTCACTTTGTTTCTTCCCGCACTTCCCTAACCTATTTATGGCCAAGAAACTTCCTTTTTAGATGTCATGTCTATTAATTTCCCAAGAAACAAGTGGGCCAATGAACCACACCTGAGGAAATACACTGTCATGTAAGTCCCTCATCCTGCAGGTAAGGAGATGAGGCCCAGGAAGGGGAAAGACAGGTCTATGGTCCCACAGCCAAAGCTG